GGTTTATTCATTGCTTGTGGTACCAAAAACTTGATTTTGTACGGAATAAAAATTTTTGAGAAAACGACTAAACTCATGTTGAAAGGACCCCACTCCTTTTCAATTATTTTCAAGATTATTATATATAAGTATCAGTCTCTTCTTTCTAGTGCAAAAGACTTAGCTCCAAAATTAATGGGTCCCATTGTGCAAAACATTTTTTGATTTTCTTCCCAATTTTGAAATTTCACATGTTACACAGTGAAAAAGATATTTGTATGCCAATCAGGTGGTGATTTTATTTGGTCTTTTCACTTATAAGAGAGGTAGGAGTTTTCAAGTTTAAATCCTCTTGACCACAGTTGTTTTTACTAATTTAATGAGTTAAGAGGAGGGCTACCCATTTTGTGTAACCTGCAGTATTATTTTGGCAAAAAGATATTTGTATGCAATATATATTAACCTTTTCTAGTCTCAAAATAATATAATTTGATGTTATTAATTTGGAATTATCTCTAATTAACTATCTATTTTGGGAAAAAAGGTTCATAATCATAAGTTTATTTCATCAAGAAGTAAGAATAATTCATGTTGATTTTTGTGCTATTGTATAAACTAATGCTTTTTTTAAAAAAAAGAGAGCAAGCAAAATAGTAGAGAAGGAAAATAAGAGGATAAAATAATGAAATATTGCTTTTTTTTTATTTATTTTTCACTTTTATGTTTGGATAGAGAAAAAAAATGAAGAAATAAAAATCACTTTAAAGAATCTAATTTTCTCAATTCATTTATTACTTTCTTTCTAATTTAGAAATATTTCAATTTTATGGCATGAGAGGTCTTCATTCATTTGATATTTTCTTCATCATTTTTAAATAAAGAAAAGTTTTTTAAATATTTTTCTCACATGTTTTTTTTTTTTTTTTAGTTTTTTAAATATTTTTCTCAACATGTTTTTTTTTTTTTTTTTTCCTTCTAATTTGGAATTTAACCTTTGGAAACAAAAGCCTAATAATAAAATTAAAAAAAAACATACTTTACTATTCAAACTTGGATTATAAATTTTGACAGACTTTAGAGTTTTTTTTTTTTTTTTTTTTTTTTTTTTTTTTTTTTTTTTTTTTAGTATAAGAAGATAAGAACAATAATGGATCACCAAAATATTTGCAATTTGGCTCTAAGTACTACCTCAATAGCCAATAAGATTTTTATATTTTTAGCTTCAAGATGATCACTACTTTTCATTTGTGGACAAAATTAAACTAATAAGCATATTCATTTATGTTATCACAATGACACTAAGCTTTTTTAATAATTAATAAAACTTTTTATATTTATAAAAATGTATAGAGAAAAATTGAGAGAGAATTCTTGAATCATGTTGATTTTTGTTGAACATTTTTAGAGAAAAATAGATTTGTTGAATATTAGTTATTAGTTGGTAGCTATTTATATAGCGATTTAAATTAGAAGTGTTCAATAAAAATAACTGTTTGGTTAGCTGTTTAATTTAAAATGACAAAACCTAGATTTTGTTGAATATTTTTAGACTATACATATTAATATATTAATTATTTTATAAGAATTTAGATAGGCAGCCACAAATCCTCATCCACGTGAATCATACATGTAAGAATCTTGAGGGCAAAAAAATCAAAATCCTTATGAGTATTGAATCCTATCTACCAATGAAATATTTTTCCATAAAAAAAAATCGTTTTGAGTAGTTTAAAAAATAATATGATGTTTTTTTAATGTTATACTTCTTTATATTAGATACCATAAATACTTTCACAAGTAATTATTAATTTTGATATAAAAGATAATTTGGTCAAATTACCATTAATTTTATTATAATCTAAAAAAGTTAATTATTTCTTTAATTATTATAATAAAATTTTAAAATCACTTATATTTTGAGATAAAAGGAGAATTTGAAAGTTAATACATGCTAAGATTTAAATCTTTTTGGAGTGAGAATTGATTTCATGTTCTCTTTATATTTTCATAAGCTTTTAAGCAAGGACAATAATTAATCAAGGCCTAGGGAATACCAAAAATAAAACAAAAATTGAAAGCAATATCATACCATCAACTTGGCTTTAATATCATATGAGTGAGTGGCCACTTTGTACTGAGTCGTGCCTCACGTTTATGCTGCTGTTGGCTCTGCATCTTTGATTAGACAACAAATCCTTTCTTTTTGAAAATTGTCGCTTCATTTTTTCTCCATTCTTTCTTTCTTAATTTTACTTTTTCCGTGATTAATATTTACACTATGTTTGATATCAGCTTTTTAATATATTAACGCTAAACGCTACTTTTTAATTAAAATATTTGATAACATAGTGTTTGAATTAGCTTTTAAATATTAAAGGTAGCGTTTTATGAAAAACTAATTCATATAATATTTAGTTTTTAACGTTTCATGAAATACTATTCAGACAAGTAACAATTATCAAAACAGCTAATTTTGCAGCATAAACTCTTTGGATACGTTCGGCAAAGTTAATTATTTTGATAGTTGTTAGATGTTTTAATAACAGCTATCTGTTAGTTGTATTAATAACTTTTCATAAAATGCTAAACGTTAGAGTACTTCCCCTGTGATCCTTGTTGTCCCACCTTAGAATATGTAGTGAGATAAGTACAATTATTATTCTGATGCGTTTAATAGTAAACCACATACACGTGAAATTCATTTCTAAGCAAATTAAGTGTAAAAAAATAGAATTTGGACAAGAAATACTTTTAGCTGCATTATTTTGCGTTCCTCAAAATTAGTTGATTCATAGCTTTATTCTATTTTAGGGATTCCCAAAGATCCAGACAGCAAGTTAAACAACAAGTTTGGTGAGATTCACGAGATGAACCAAACCAAAAATCTATAAGCACTAGGAAATATTACAAGTTGTGTCTCGTACCATCTATATATATTTACAATAACATTCTTATTTTTACGTTAACAATATCTAAAATGTTAAAAAAAAAATTTAAGAGCATTACAGTTTGTCTATATATATTTACAAATTTGTAAATTTTTTTATTCCGACGTGAATAGTTTGTCTTGAACCGAATACACTAGAAGAATTTGGTATGATAAATATTAAATATAAACCGAATATTATAATAATACCTATATATGTGGGAAAAAAATCATAAATATTGTTTAAGGACCCACTTGAAGATGATATATGATTCAAAAATTTCCTAAGATGTGAGATTTTATACAAGCTAGCTGATTCGATATCCACTATAACCTAACCCTTATCTTGGACTGTTGTTAATAATTCTCCAGGAACCTTCCACTTCCGTGCAAAAGAGAAAACAAAATACAAATTGAAGATTAGACATGTTTTAGGACAACACTCGTTTGAGTTTGTTTTTTCTTTTTGTTTTCCCACTCATTTTAATTTATTTTATAGTGACTTTAGATATTAATTAAATGAGTTTGATACGAATTTTAAATATCGTGTTGGATCGGTTCAATAGCGCTTTCAGCAGACGTTGTTTCTATATATAAGGATTGAACTCGTGAATTCACTTAAGAGATAAAAGTGCTGAAATAAATACTCATATAAAATTAAATTTACGTAGACGGATCACCCATATATCGAATCAGAGTAGGTGTAGGTTAAAAAATATAAAATTTGTTAAAAAAATTTTCGTTGCCCTTTTCTTTCAGTAAGATAATGACATTGATATATGTTTTGGTGGAATATTTTTTTGGCCAGAAAAGTAGGTTTCAGTAACAAAGTGACAGATTGAAGAAGCTGAAATACAAGTTCCTTCAATGATTATATATATACTCTTTCACACCTGTTTCTTCCTCACATGTTAAAGTAGCAGTAAGTGAGTGATCCATTTGTCGGTTCTTAATTAATAGTATGAAAACAACATATATGATAAAAAATATACGACTATGTAAGAATCTTCATCACTCAAAAACCTCTTCAAGTTGTTCAAAAGTTGCACGAGAAATGAACTTAACACAGTATTATCCTGGTCTGAGGAGCATAAGCACTAATATTATACTGAAAAAGCTAAACATATCCTAAATATATACAAAGCTAATTAAGCTATATATATATGTATAGATTGATCAAGAAACACTTATAAGTTCATCGTCAAAAAACAGGCAACCTGATCTTCTTTTCTGGGAAGCTCAGCAGTGATTTTTAATGGCTAGTAGACAATAATTTTACAAGTACATTAATTGGTAGGTTTAAAAGGAAAGAGCAAAGAAATTTCTAGTTTTGGAATTTATTATTAGTAACTTAGTAATTAAGTGAAACAATATGAAGAAATTTCTAAATTTTTTTCTTTTCCCCTTTCTTTTCTTTACATATATTAGAGCTTGTTAATCAAGATTAGTCTTTGTAATCTAATTTCATGTAATCATTATAATTTGTTCTTACTTAACTGTAAAAGGGGACCATTATTCTAAGCTATAGTAGTTACAAATATGAAAAAACAAAAATAATAATTCAAGAAACAAGAAACTGTTGAACAACCTATGAATCCATTTTTTTGATTCCCGAGGTACATCTTTCCTCGCCCAATCTTGTGGCTCTCTTAGATCTTAAATCTCCTAAAAGGTTTTTTTTTCTTTTTTTTTTAAAAAAAAATTTATTATTCTTTTAAGATCTTAAATCTCCAAAAGTTTTTTATAAATATTTTATAATTTATCCATTATTGTAGTTGTTCAAAATGAATTCACATCCATTAATAATAGACAACTAAATTACTTATAATTAGTTATGTAGAAATAATTGAATATGCACTTATATTACTATTCAAAAATGCAATATTATCGAAGAATATTCCTTATCATCTTATGCTGGATGTAGTTGAACTTACACACACCTGCATATTTCAAAAGCTTCTCAATTCTCATTAAAGAAAAAAACTTGCTAATCACATTTCTCTAACACCAACCAGGTATATAATATATATTTATAAATAATTTAAATTTCGTTCTCTGATTATATATGCATATATTTTTATTAAATAGGGTCTCATATCAAATGTGTGCATGATATTTGAAAGGCATAATAATGTGACTCGAGTCACCAAATGGGTGCTGCATTTCTTTTTCTCTGATCCGGTAAGGTTGGTGTTCGTGCATGCATTTCCTGGTAGGAAGAAAATAGCTTTGAGATAGCTAGAAATCGATATCAGATCGAAACCAGGTTTTGCAGGAAGCTAGCTTCAGTCGGATTATTTATATATTTGTGTATGTATATGTTTTTCTACGTCAAAACAGATGCCAATGCTAGTCGACTAATGGGAGATTGGTATGTTTAAATTGTGGCTTATCTTTTTTTTTTTTTTTTTTTAAATTGTGGCTATCTTTTTTTTTTTTTTTTTGGTTAATGAATTTCTTTTCTTTTCTTTTCTTTTTTTGTTGACAATTACTGCTATTTTTTTTTTTTTTTTGGTTAATGAATTTCTTTTCTTTTCTTTTCTTTTTTTGTTGACAATTATGCTATATGGTTTGATTCTTTTCTTTTAAAAAATAAAACCTACTTACCTATTTCTAGTTTGCAGCCATGTCTGAATACGGAGTATTATTATATCACTGTCACATATGAGTACATAATTTTGATTTCTTGAAGTTTTATCATAGTCGAGGAGCCCACAAATCCATTATTATCACGTGATAATACAGAAGGTTAAGAGTTTGAAAATTTTCAAGTATAAAAAAAGGATTATTAATAGATTAATTTAGCAAGAACATGAAATCCCAAATAAGAAAGAAAAGCAATTTTGTAATTTTTTTTTTTAAAAAAACAGAATTCATCTTTCTTACTTGGAAACAGGATCAGTTAATAACTATGGTTATAACTCAATTAGTACAGTTGTTAATTTGTAATTATATCTGAACTTTTTCTCAATGAAAACAAAAAAACTGATTCACGACAAAACTCATAGAATAGTGCTAGTCACTGTTCACGTGTTTCTTAAAACCCTGACCTGACTGGAGTTTCTCCTCCAACTCCACCATGCAAATTATAAGCTGGCTCTTCTTTCTAAGTTACTCTCACCCATTGTTATCTTACCAAACGGGTGCAGGCTGGTTTATCTTGTTGAATTTGAATCTTCTAGATCTGAAGAGTTTTTATCGATTTAGAAATAATACGGTTGGTCTTTTACTTAATACGAGCAGTGAGAGTAGTGAGAGAAGTGGGATTCGAATCTTTTCACCACTTGAATTTTATCAATTTGATTGGTTAGCTAAAAGAAAACACCCTATTGGATAACCCACAATATCACTCGGGTCTATTGAGTGAATAAAAATAATAATAAAAAAACACCCATTACTAGCTCTTTCATGCACTTTAAAGTTTAAACTGACACACTCCTCTCTTATAATCCTTTCTTCAGTACCAAAACGCACTCTCTTTTTCGTAATTCCTCAGTTTCCATGCTTATATTCTTCCAAATCCCAATCATGTCCATGTCCTCCTTCTTGCAAAGGTCAACTTTTTGACTCAAAGCACATTTCTTTTTTCTCTGTTATGGTTATTGATGCCATTAGTGTTTGTGTTTTAGGTGGCTGCATCTAAGAGGAAGCAAAACCAGAGGTAATGACACCCACTATGACGACGTCTTCGACTACGCCACAGAATGTTATGCCTGTACACAAGTTGGCGTCCCCGTCTTCCACTCCACTAGCTGCGACAGCGCCAACCAACCACATTGGCAAGCCTCTGCCGGTTCTTCTCTTTCTCCGTTTAACCCTGTCCCGACCCGTTCGAGATTCCGGATTCCTTCTGGTCCTTTTGGGTCCGTTCTCGACCCGCGTAGCGAGTGGGTCCAGTGGTGGAACCGGGTGTTTTTGTTGACACGTGGGATTTCGTTAGCCGTTGATCCTCTTTTCTTTTATGCCTTGACCTTATCTATAGGGAAAGGTGGGGCCCCGTGTTTGTACGTGGACAGCGGGGTGGCGGCTATCGTTACCGTTGTTCGCACCTGCGTCGATGCGGTGCAGCTTTGGCATGTTTGGTTGCAGTTCAGGTTGGCCTATGTTTCTAAGGAGTCTCTGGTTTTCGGCTGTGGGAAACTCGTGTGGGACGCACGTGCTATTGCTTCCCATTATGTCAGGTCTCTCACGGGTTTCTGGTTGGATGTTTTTGTCATACTTCCTTTTCCTCAGGTTGGCCCTCTTTTTCTTTTCCTCCTTTATTATTTTTTCAATTAACTGAATTCTATTAGTGCAGGCTTAGTTATAAACAAAACGGAATAAAAACCAAAAACCCATATAACCCAACATAACTGGTTTCAGATTAAAGCTTGGTTATTATTATTGTAAATTAAATTTATTGGTATAAGCATAAATAAATTTAGTTCTACCACTAAATTAAAAAAATTTTCTTTATTGTTACAAATATTTAATCATGTTCTTATGATTTTTAATTAATTATTTTGGAAACAGTAAAAGATATTTAATTGATATATTTAGAATGATATGTTTCTCACATCAGTGGTGCAGTAGGTAGGGCATCTTGCCTGTTAACAACCATTTGTGTATGGATCAAACAAAATAGCTCAGTCTTTTGTCCTATCTGTTTTGAAATTTTGAAAAGAAAATTTAGTTTCTGTTAATAATAATAAGGAAAAATGGCCTACTAAGTCATGAATCATCATGATATTACTAAAGATGGCTACTTTAACCTCAATAATTGCTCAAGTAGTTCATCACATATCTCTTATTCTTTATTAATTTTCTTTTCCTTTTTGATTGAGATTCCAGTGCTAATAATATTATTAGCACGCTTTCTTTCTTGCCTTCTTGTGCATTTAAAGAATTAAAATCAAAGGAGTGAACATTACATGTTATAACAAAAAGAAATGTTCTGGAAGGCTAATAATTCTCTTACAGTTTCCATTAAACTCTACTGCTATAATGTCATGGAAAGAAATTCATATTGGAGAGGTAAGTGAAATGGGTTGAGCTTAGAACAAACGAAACTCGACTACGTTATCCCTCAATCTTGCCCCAGCAATGGAGAGGGAGAGGGTCATTACCCTGTGACAGATGGAAGGAGACAAGTAGTTTTAAAGAAATCGTTAACAGGTTGATTCATTCTTCTAATTTCTTTCCCTTGCAGGCAATATTTTGGATATTGGTGCAAAAATTGATCACACAAGAGAAGAGTAAGCTGGTATTAACAATAATACTGCTAACATTCTTGTTTCAGTTCCTCCCTAAGCTCTATCACAGCTTTAGCTTGATGAGCAGAATGAGAAAGGTCACAGGTTATATCTATGGTACCATTTGGTGGGGTTTTGGCCTTAATCTCATTGCTTACCTAATTGCTTCTCATGTTATTGGAGGATGCTGGTATGTTCTTGCTACTCAACGAGTCGTGTCATGTCTGAAAGAACAGTGCGAAAGAAACAGCAACTGCACGCTCTCTCTGTCGTGTTCAAAGGATGTTTGCTATCAATTTATGTATCCTGAAGATAAATTTGGAAATCCATGTGGTAATAACTCTAAAATGATTGCGAAGCCATTGTGTTTGAATGATGAAGGACCATTCAATCATGGGATTTATACAGAAGGCCTTCTAGTGGTTACTAGCAATTCACTTGCTCTCAGGATTCTTTATCCCATTTTCTGGGGCTTGTTGAACCTTAGGTAATATATTTATAACTAAGGGCCTGTTTGAATGAGCGGTTAGATCGTCTAGCATTTGAGCTTCCAAAAATTGATCTAATCATCAAAATTTTAGTTGTCAAAGATACAAAATTTACAATTGAAATACTGAAATTTCTTACTAACTGAAACTGCCAAACCAAACATGCAAACAAGCTATAATGTTATAGATTATTAATTGCTAGATTTGGACTATCTCATTTCTATTTTCCTAATATCTTGCTTATGTTGACAGCTCTTTTGGCAATGAGCTCGATCCGACGAGTAACTTGGTAGAAGTGATGTTCAGTATATTCATTGTGTTGTGTGGCTTGACTCTCTTCACATTAATGGTTGGGAACATCCAGGTAATAAAATTTCCTGTTATTTTGATATTTTATTGATACAAGTAAAAACATAGTTCAAAAATAACTTGTTATTCTTTTATAGGTGTTTCTGTCTGTGATCTTGGCCAAAAACAAAAACATGCAGCTAAAACGTAGAGACATAGAATGGTGGATGAGTAGAAGACAATTGCCATCAAATTTGAGGCGAAGAATTCGACATTTTGACAACCAAAGATGGGCAGTGATGGGAGGAGAAGATGAGATTAAGTGGATTGAAGAATTGCCTGAGGGACTCCGTAGAGACATTAAGCGCTATCTTTGCTTAGACCTCATCAAAAAGGTAACTTAACAACTAAATCATCTGCTAATGATCAAGTTTATGAATAACTAATGTCAATGAACAATAACCCAATTGCAATTTTTATTGTTCAGGCACCTCTCTTTCACAATTTGGATGATCTTATTCTTGATAACATTTGTGATAGGGTCAAACCTCTTGTCTATTGCAAAGGCGAAAAGGTGCAAAATCATCCTACATTAACTTCTGATTTTAATAATTTTACAAAATTTGATGAATCTCTTAATATTTGACAGATAATTAGAGAAGGAGATCCTGTGCCAAGAATGTACTTTATAGTGCGGGGGCGAGTGAAGCGTAGCCAAAGTCTTAGCAAAGGCATGGTAGCTACAAGTGTGCTTGAACCAGGAGGCTTTCTAGGTGATGAATTGTTGTCTTGGTGCCTTCGCCGCCCATTTATAGACAGACTTCCAGCTTCATCGGCAACATTTTTCTGCATGGAACCAACTGAGGCTTTTGGACTTGATGCAAACAGTCTTAGGTACATTACTGATCATTTTCGATACACATTTGCTAGCGTAAGGCTTAAGCGAACATTGAGATATTACTCGTCGAATTGGCGAACATGGGCTGCCGTGAACGTACAATTGGCTTGGCGAAGATATAGGATGAGGACTACAGGTCTAGTGATTCCTGTAGCGATTAATGGTAATAATATTGAAAATTTGCTGCTCAGGCGATATGCTGCAATGTTCTTGTCACTCAGGCCACATGATCATCTTGAATAAATGCAAGAATGGAAACTTCTTTTCTTTTTTTTAGTTTCTTTGAGATCTTTGTACAGTATCTGTTGTTTGTGCCAAGCTGCTCATAATACTGAATTGAAGATTTGTTCCAAGCAGAGTTGCAGAAGATTCTTTCATGAAAAATGGGAGATTTTTGTTTTACTTAGGAAAATATAAAATACGTGTGTAACCTGACAATAAAAAAAAAAAAACTTATTTGATTTTGTCATTTGTTACTAAAAAAAAAAATAAGAAATGAAATGAAGGATTTTGGTTGCATCTGCTAATCAAAATGCAAACAGAAGTTTCTTGACTCTCAGTTGTGGGCTGCATCATCCTCCATTGCCATACTTAATTCTGATTTGTCTACTAATTCCTTAGTTGTGAACTTTCAACTAACAGTCTAATACCAGATTATATACTTAACATTTTTAAAATTTTTTGGAAATTGTAATAAATTCATTTAAAATGGTCTAATGTTGCCCCAATAAACAACATGGTTTTAACTTGTTAACAGGTATTTTACATATTAATTACACTCCATTATTGAAATTAGTAACATGATTAAAGTATGTAAACTTCATATTAGTTCGCACCTAACTGAATTCTCATCGGAGGCCAAAATTGCTAATAAAAAATAAATATAGGATATTGATCGATAAAATTAAAAATAATAGACAAATTTAAAAATAAAACTTTAAAAGTTGAGGTTTTTTTCATGATGAAGCTTTATTTTTAAGCTCTAAGATGAGAAATTGCACCCTATGACTGAAACGGAATGTAACTGTAAGAGTTTATAGTGTTTTAACAATAAAAAAAACAATCAATTTATAATTTTCTTAAAATTTCTTATTAGGAATTAATATATATTACTATAATTATTGTTAAAAGTTACATTATGTATTTTTTTTTTAGTTCAAAATTAATTTAGGGATTTCAAATATATTAATATTCGACTTGATAATGATTTAATTTTTCTATATAAACTAAAATTTGATTTTATTTAATTATTTATCACGTTTGCAATAAATTAATTACATGAACAAAATCTCCATGTGAAATATTGTAAGTTTCTCGTTTAACCAGCAAAAAGAAATGCAGACAACGACGTCGTTGTCAATTTTACTTAAAGAAGACCACATTAACTCCTAACCTACCAACAAAAGGCACGTGGACCACGGAAAATTTCTCTACCTTCAGATTTTAATCTGTTACACAAGATTCCAAAACCCACAAAAACTAACATTTTGTCCGTTCTTCAATTTCAGAGCAGGTGGGGGGAGAAGCAGAGCGGAGGATTCTTATTTGAATCACCCTCTTTTTTTTTTCTTTTTTTTTTTGAATTTTAAATTCTTTCTCTCTCGCGATCAATCGTGCATAGCTGGTAAGATCACGTAATATCAGCTTCTCTTGATTTTTTTTTTTTTTAAATTTATATTCAAGTTCTTCGCTTGCGTTCTCCGTTAATTCATGCTAATCTATCTTAGATTTGAATGGATCGGTTGTTTTTAAATTTTTTATGTTTTAGCTCTTCTTGTGTCTAGATCTTGGTCCGGGGTATATTATTATTACTATTATTTTGTAAAACTAGGGTTTATTTTGTCTATAATTTGTTTGTTAATTGTGAAACTGCTGCCTGGATTTATAAATCTTGTTTATTTATTATATCTGAGATTTAAATGTGAGCTGCGAGAATGTAAAGGGGAGAAAAGACTTGGGTTTGGATTATATGGAAATGGGTATCGCTTAAAATGATATTAAAGTTCTTCTTTCTCTGTCTCTTTTCCGCTGAATATGAGTTTAATGTTAACTAAGGGATACTGTTTATGAGTTTAGTGTAATTGAGGTTTTCCAGTGGCTATTTGGATTACTGCAAACAATATCTTTCGTGTGATCCAATATGATGGTGGGGATTCTTATTGGATGAGAATGTTTCTTAGGCCCTGATTTAGTGTTGTTTGGATTTGGCACCTGTTCTTTATATAAAGTGCAAAAAAAATCCCTTAATCCAGATAATAGCAAATCAGATCCCCCAAAAAAAGCACAACACTGTGCTAGGCCTTAAAGGTGCTGTGACTGGTTTAAGCATGTCTCATTAACCAAAATTTTGGAATTTGTTGTACTAGTAGCTGCAGTAACAGTTTTTGTTGGGATGATTAGAATTTTAACTATTTTCTAGTGACTAGATGCATTTGCTATCCATGATCCATGTTATTCATCATTGTTTCCTGAATTTTCTTTATTCTGTCATTTTTACTGTCACCATTATATGCCTTTCTGATTGGTTCTGAGTTTTATATTTTAGGTTTGCCTTTTTAGTTGTATCCACTTGCTTGCCTAGCACGTAGGAATGTTTACCTTCTAAGGATCCACCTTATGCAAATTTACTTATGTGACTAAAAAGTGGACGATGAAAGAGCAGCATATTTAATGAAATTCTCTGTCCTGATTTTATAGTTATTGTTGAATGCTCCCTGTTGTTATGCATTTACTAATGCCTCAGTATTCTATTTACCTTTGGGATTGTGCAAGAACTGGAAGGCTCCTTTATCATTAGTTCAAAATTTTGGGTTATTGAACCCTTTTTGGTCTCCTTATTCTGCTACTTTCTAATCATTTGATTCAAAAAGTCTACATTTTTCTAGGAGATTTTGATATCAACTCAATGATATTACTGCTCCTGAAAACATTAAATACCTAACTATTCTGTCATCATTATATATTATTCATAATCACATAACTGTGAAAAATTATGAATGGATGCCAAACTGAACTTAGCGTCGTAAATTATGGGAAGTTAGTTTGAGTCTCTTTCTTACTCCCATTTTTCTTCCAGGTGAAATTGCTAATGGTGCTGATAATTATCAAGGGAAAACCTTCTGTGAATGAGATAATGGTTATTGATGCTGGTTGTCAGTAGTTTCTGGAAGCATAGAATATGATACTGCTTCTGTGAGTTGCTTCTTGCTTACAAAATGTGGAATTTTGCTTCCAATTGCATAGCTGGAAGTGTTGGCCTAAACAGTACCCCAAAGCTAACTCAAGCTGCATCAGAATACTCAGATGATGAGGCATCTTCTGTTGTTAGCAGGGAAGAAAGCCTAGAGTGCCCAATATGCTGGGAGTCCTTCAATATTGTGGAAAATGTGCCTTATGTTTTATGGTGTGGCCATACACTTTGTAAAAACTGCATACTAGGACTTCAATGGGCTGTTGTGAAATTCCCCACATTACCAATCCAACTCCCGCTCTTTATTTCCTGCCCATGGTGCAATCTCTTATCCTTCCGCTTAGTGTACAGAGGCAACCTAAAATTTCCCCGCAAGAATTACTTTCTACTTTGGATGGTCGAAAGCAAGAATGATGATGGACATAAATCTCATAATGCCTTTTATGAAGATCATCAACCCCTCTGGTCAGTGGACAGCAATTTAGCCTCAGGAAACCAACTAAGTTGCAATAACACTAGAAGGGGACATCATTCAGAGTCATCAGGAACAAACCATGATCACAATCCCGACAATGCTTTCCTCAATCTGGGAAGAATACATTCTTCTCTTCAGAAGTCATTGGTTTTCCTCGTTCATTTGACAGCCAAGTTTCCTTTGGTCATTATATTCCTTTTGATTGTCTTATATGCTATACCTGCCAGTGCAGCCATTTTGGCCTTGTACATTCTTATCACAGTTCTATTTGCTCTTCCCTCTTTCCTAATACTGTACTTTGCTTTTCCTAGTTTGGATTGGCTTGTCAGAGAAATTATCACTTAATGCAATTAGCATCGTAGTCTGTAGACCTTGTGAATATAAGTTTGCTCCAAGATACTGGCTTCTATTTATGTGGATGCCATAGAAATTGTAATTTGACGACTTCTCCAGTTTCCAAGGCTGTCAATTCTTTGGCTTGAAGGTGGTCCAGTTTCACATCAGCTCCTGTAGAATTTGGCAAGGATCAAGGGCTTGCGTAGTCTGGAATTTTTGGTGGCAATTGGGGCTCAAGACATGGAAACTTCACCTGTCAATTTAGTATTTGCTTTGCAGATTCGCAACGCTACTGTATGCATACAAAATAGTTAGTGTGAGGGCTTGTCACAAAAGTTTGATATCTTCTTTGTAAGCGGACCCCTGTTTATTGAATCTCTATTATGGTTCTGCTCCCCTTGTCTATAAAATTTTCTATCTTTGATCCTTGTTGGGTTCTGAAGAAAGAGAGAGAAAAACTGTTATCCTTTATGAGTCTTTAGTGATTAACACTGTGTCGATCAAACATATTTTGCTTATGCTTATTATGTACAGTGCTTTTAATGGACTGGTTCTTTGCCTACTATGTCTGTGTAGGCCAGTTTGGGATTTGATGTGCTGCTGTTTTGGAGTTGTAATGTAGGAAAAACAGTGAGACTTAAAATCTAGAAGAAACTGTAATTCCATAGTGCAAGGCCATTTCAGAACAGAGGTCATAGGTTGAAAAAAACAAAAGACGCAATTATATGTATGGAATAAACCGGAATTCCTGTAACTAAATCATCAAAAGGGTGAGTGAATTCATCCAATAGGCTTTGGCAGTATGTAACCCTATGCTTTATGTGGTCCAATGTTTATGGTCCAGAAATTCACGGTCCTAGAAAGTTCTGTTTCAGTCTCCAAGCATCCACAAACTATAATAATTCCCCCTCAAAAAAAGTCCTTGTAGGAAAATCCAACAGAGACAGAACTACACGTGTCACAAACATAGCCTTGAAACTTGCAACTATGGATCCTGTTAACATTAAGAAACACCCATCTCACACCATTTTTAAACTTTTTCTAGTTATTGTAAAAACAAGTACAGTCTCAAACTATGGTGGCTGCTATTACCATTTCTTCCCCAAAATCCAGAATCTTGCAGAATCCAGTCTCCTTATATGAACCCAATTCTAATTTTCTTGGTGGTTCCTTAAAGAACTCTGTTTTACCATTAAAACCCAGAAGTAAAAGAAGAGATAAACTCAATTTGGTGGTTGCTGCAGCAAGCAACACCCCCACCACATCTACTGGCACGTTTTATCTTAACTTTACTGGCTTTCCTTTCCCTCTTGGTCCTTTCCTCAATAGACGCACTATAAGGACTGAGGTCAGTTTTTTTTTTTTTTTTCCTTTTCTTTTGTCTTTTAAATTTTCTTTAAAATTTAAATTTTAATAATGGTTGTTCAGAGTTTTGGCTTTTGTCTGATTTTTTTCTCCTTTTTTTTTTTTTTTTTTTTTTTTTTTTTTTTTGCTATGGGCTTTTTACAAGTCTCCAGCTTTCAAGTTTTCCTTCTCGCTTCAGTCACTTCTCATTGTAGTTTTCTAGTCTGGAAATCTTTATTGATTTCACATTTTGTACAGATAGAATTTGTTACTGCTTTTTTTTTGTCTTTTTTTTTTTTTTTTGCTCATGGGCTTTTTACAAAGTCTCCAGCTTTCAAGTTTTCCTCTCGCTCAGTCACTCTCATGTAGTTTTCTAGTCTGGATCTTATTGGATTTCACATTGTACAGATAGAATTTGTTACTGCTTGCTGTTTTTAGTCTGCCTTTCTTCTTTTTGATTCCTGAAACGCAATTTGGTATACTTTATGTTAAGTAGATGGGCTTCCATTGACGTTGATGTTAAAATGTGTGTGGGTTTTGTGTTAACAAGGTGAACTAACATTCTAACACCTAACATTCTAACACGTTTCTTTTGTCTGTAACTCAAATAATGTTGCTTTTATTTATTTTTTGTATTAACTGACAAAATTTATGGTTTTGAGTAGGGAGTCATATTCCTAATTTTGAGGTCTCTTGACAATTCGAGGGAGATAGAGAACAACAATTTGTTTTTAGGTCCCTTTGTAAATGGGTTTCAGAAGAATATTCATTAACTGCTTTATTTGCTTAAGTTGATCCTTTATAAAGAAAGCTTTTTCTTTTCCTGCATACTATAATTCTGGAATGCTATTTATTTGTATAGCTTGCCCAAGACTTACAAATGTTATATTTGAAATACATTAGAAGAATGAGAAAGAAAAGAAGCATACAACTTTAAACAAAGGAGTGAGATAGGAAGGACTTACTTACATGTGCAAAAAATTTAAAAAGAAAAACATGTTTTGTTTAATTTTTACATGATCGAATGTAAGGATAATAAGTAAGTTTCCTATCAGTGACTGATGTGTTAATGGAAATTGTTGCTGGAAATTATGTCTTTGTGATTTAAATTTTCCCATTTTCTTCTGTTAATGTCCTTGATAGGCTGTAAAGGGTTGTATATGGCTATTCGAACAAGAGCAAGCATTGGGATTCAGCAGTGTCTCAACAAATATTCGAATGACAGTCGTCAAACTCAAATCTGGAGGTTTATGGGTCCATGCACCCATTGCTCCAACTAAGGAGTGTATTCAGGTTCTATCTTCCTTACCAACTCTTCAATGAATGAGGATACTAAATGGTCAATTTAACTTTATTGAAAGTTTTGTGCATATCAATTCTACAGTATAGAAAGTGCATTTTCTTGTGACTGATATCTTCTAGAATTAAATTACTTCTTTTTTATTCCAATTCATTATTCAACTTGTATTTGAAAGTTCAAAAGATATTTCCACATTTCTGTTTATTATTTTTTCAAGTCTTTCCAGGGTTAGATGGCTTTGAAGCAGCCCATATGGATAGATACAGATAATTCTTTTAAGGACTAACAGCTTAACAAATACGCTTTCTATACAAAGCAAAGGCAAAACGAAAACGATGCAACCTTGCTGTATAGTTTTCTTCTTTTCTTTTCTCTTTTTCTGTCAGATTTAAAACTTTATGGCAGCATATACTTTATATATGGGATATCCAAAAAAAAAAGGAAAAAGAAAAAGAAAAAAGCTTTTGGCCCTGCAGCAATGTATATGGGGTGCGGATGCTATTTGACTGCCTTAGTTGAGTATCATCTGCTTAAGACTATGAAATTACCTGTTTTCAATAAGAACTACTTTGATTGTATATGTTACTTTATTAATACGTGAATAATATAAATTATCTGTTGGCACCATCAACATTTAATACTTATTTGGTGGATTTAACTTATAACAATTCATTGCTTCTAAATTCCGTAGATAAAATAGAGTTCCATAGTAGTTCAAATCAAAGACTTAATATTTTGTATATATTACAGTATTTTGCATAAATGTCTGTCATATACACTATTTTCCCCCCCCCAAAAAAAGGAAAATAATATAATATTTATTAGCTTTTAATTCTTGGAGTACTAACCTTATGCAAACTTAAACTACACACACAATAATTAATCATTCATTTGTAGGATTTAAATAGATTCAGATAAAAGAAAGTATAAGACATAGAAAGAGATTTGTAATTTTATGAAAATTATTAATTTTTATTAGTTTATTGATATAACTTTTATTTTTCCCACTCAAAATTAAAACTATAATACAGGAATCCAATGCCCTCAAAGTGTTAGAAGCAAGAACGATCTAGAGAAAAATAGCTAGTTTCAGAGAAGTTAATTATCCATGCTTGCTGCTTTATTTTCGGAAGCGGAATCTTCTGTGTTGTGCTTGGTTCCTACTTCTTAGTATCATTTTAGTTCATGATTTGCATTGTTGCAAACTCGGATGGCTTTTTGACATAGTGATCTATCTTGCCAGCTTCTGAAGGAGTTGGAGGCTCCAGTAGAATACATAGTCCTGCCTACATTTGCTTATGAACATAAAATTTTTGTTGGCCCATTTTCAAGGAAGTTTCCACGAGCCCAAATATGGGTCGCACCAAGGCAATGGAGCTGGCCGTTGAATTTACCACTTGAGTTTTTTGGGATTTTTCGTGCCAAAACCTTGAAAGATGAGGATTTGTCAACACCATGGGCTGATGAGATTGAACAAAAAGTTTTAAGCTCACCTGAAGTTGGTAATGTAATATGCACACAGACCAGGTCAAATTTCATTTAAATGAATAATTTAGTTTTCTTTTGGATTATTCCAGGAATTGGACCATATGTAGAAGTAGCTTTCTATCATAAGCGCTCAAGAACGCTACTGGTAACAGATGCTGTAATTTTTGTTCCAAAAGAGCCACCTGAATGTATTAGCAAGGAATCCTTGTTAGCTTCGGCAAAAAATGGATTGGCTGTAAAAATTCTTAGTAAAGGAAAGGAAGTACCTCAGGAACCAGTTGTTGATAACCCGATGAACCGTCAAAAAGGTTAGCTCTTTAGTCCTAACCATTGTGATAATGGAACCGAGAATGCTTTTCGTGCAATTTGATATGCTTTTCGTGCAATTTGATAGTGAAATTTGTTTTATCATGAAAAAGTTGAAGAAGCGTGGTCTTTGGTGCAGGATGGGAAAGGATGGTTCTTCAAATCTTGTTTCTTGGCCCGTCCAATCTGTTGGAACCTAAAGCTAGTTTTGGTCAAATGTCTCAGAAATTGATTGTTTCACCTATTGTAAAGACTCTGGTCTTCAGCAAAGTTCCTGAAAAGGTAAATTAATGATTCAGAGAAAAACTTCCTTTTAATGTGTATATCATGGTTTAGAAGATTATACAAATACAAAAACAATCAAATTCACCAACTTTATCTTGATGCAATTTGCTGCATTTTATTCGAACTATCGACCTTTTCTAGTACTTACATTAAATATAAATTGATTGAATCGGTATTATTGACATTGGTCCTTTTAAATTTCAGGTCAGGGATTGGATTGATGGAATAGCTGGGGATTGGAGATTCAAGAGAATTATTCCTGCTCATTTTGCTGCTCCAATAAATGCAGGCAGGTCTGAATTTTTAGCTGCATTTGCTTTCCTAGATGACCTCTTGGGCGAGCGTTACGTTACTCGGCCTTCACTATCTCTTCTGTTCACTTCACTTATGGGGAAGGCTGCCAGTTACTTCCCACCAGATGACATGAAGACCTTATCATCCCTCGATCAATTTTTAGTGTCGGTAGGAGCTGTAAAGAAGACTGTCTCAGGAAGGAAAAAAGCAGCTTGACAGATAAATTTAGCTGCAAAAGTTTTACCATCACCTTTAATTCACACATACACTTTTATATCAAGAATTTGACAGATCATTATTGTACAATATATTCATATTTGAATAGGAAAAAGTATATAGCTTTTCAAATTTTGTCCTCCTCCAATATTAGTGTTAAGTGTCATATGTTCCATATTTGATGAAACCTATAATGTCTGAAAAAAGGGAGAAAGTTAATTTCTTCTTTGAATGGTTTTCTAGCAAAAGGAGATTTCTTCAAGGCAGCTTGTGTTGATTTTTCTACACTTTTAACTTCCAAACAAAGCAAAGAACAAGACTTAACATGTTTTAATTTAACAATTTTAGAACAACTAAAATAATATTTTCAAAATACTTTTTTGCACAATATCTCAAAAGGGGTTTTTCCAAAACAAAAAGAAAGAAAAAAAAAATCCAACAAACTATTTGTAACAGTAGCTTTGGCCATAGGTTTCTTAAAGACATCCAACCACATCTTCAAGTCACCTTAGAACTTCATCCTACTAAAATTAAATTCCATTCACTAAATTGCTTCCAACTATTCATTAGATATAGTTGAATGAATGTTAGGTAAGAATAAGTAAACTTTATTAATAATGTCAAAGGTCAAAGTAACTAGAGAACTCAAAGCATGAACAAAATTGGTTGGACAAGTTCTTCATAAACTCTCTTGTTGGTCTAAATTCTTCAATTAGAGTTAAAAAAAAAAAAATCATAAATCATTTATATATATCTACATTTTGGTTGGAAGGTCACCTCCCCAACAAGGTTACCAACTACATTGAATTGAAATTCCATTCTCACAGAAGCTCAAAGAAGGCACATGTGCAAACCAAACCATAGAGAAATAATATTTTATTTGATTGGGTGGGTCCAATGTCCATTATTTTTTTAGAGGGTACATAATATATATATATATAATCAAATTAAAGCATGGACCATAAGGTAGTGTGATTGTTAGAGAGAATCCAAAGTGATTTTTCTCCTGTTGTTAATTGTCTTTTTTTCCTTTCTTTTTCAATTTTTTTTATTATTATGTTTCTTCCATTTGGGCCATAGCTTTGACATAGACTTTAGAGCATGCTTCCACATATTGATGCAAATGCAACCATTTTCTTTTTACTCTTCCCTAATGATTCAAGAAACTTCACCTTTTTTTTCCCTTGGAAAAGCCAATTGTCCACCCTTTAAGTTTTTGAAATGCCAAGCAGAAATTTCTAAAACTTTCCCTTTTCTTTCTACGTGAGAAACAGTATTAGCCTTGAGCCAGCCAACAAACGGTGACAACTTTCTTTCTATAGATAGTACGTTATTTAATATTTTTTCTGTCTCAAAATATAATAAATATTTTTATAATAATTATTTTGTCTTAAAATATAAGTCATTTCAAATACTTTAAAATGTAATAAATAATATAAGTTGTTTTTAGCGTTTTGATTAAATATTATTTTTTATAGTGTTCGGTAATATAGCATTTTAATTAGTTTGTAAAGGTTAAAGCAATATTTTATAAAAAATTAACTTATTTAACGTTTAATTTTTAACATTACATAAAAAGCTATTCAAACAGCTAACAACTATTAAAACAGTTAATTTTATCAAATAAATCCATAATCATACGAGATAAAAATAACGATATATGAAAAATAATGATATGTTATTAATTTACAAAAATTAATTATTCTTTAATCTCTATAAAAAAAAAAATCTTAAACGACTTATTCTTTTCGTACATTAAATCACTCTGTATTTTATATTGCTTGTCATAATAGAAGCTAGGCAGTTTAATATTAAATTACCACCTGAAGGATATGTAAACTAAAATAAGGTATCTTGATTTGTGATGATTTTTTTTAATGCAATTAGGAGATTTGAAATTCCATTAATTACTTTAATCCTGTTTAGCACATTGGATACCTATCATCATGAAATCTTAATTTTGATGCCCAACCCCAACTGTCCTTTGCCCATATATTAAATTATTAATAATACAGTGTGAAACTTTCATGATTGACATATAACCATAAATCTAATAATCACATTTTCATTTTTTGGCAAAGAAAAAAAAAAATATATATATATATATATATATATATGGGCAAAAGATATTTCAAAGACAAGACCTTCAGAAACTAAAATCCAAATGAAACAGTCTTATTGGGAAGTTTCTTTTGAAAATTTCTAAGCATAATGTAAATCAGGTCCTTTTAATCTGTAGAAGCAGATTATACACATACATGTTTATTTTGGGAACTAATTGACAGCTCAAAATTTCATAATTTTAAAATATAAATTTTTAATTTAAAGTATATATATATATATATATATATGGGCAAAAGTTTCAAAGACAGCACCTTCAGAAACTAAAATCCAAATGAAACAGTCTTATTGGGAAGTTTCTTTTGAAATTTCTAAGAGATAAATGTCAAATCAGGTCCTTTTAATCTGTAGAAGCAGATTATAACATACATGTTTTATTTTGGAACTAATTGACAGCTCAAATTTCATAATTTTAATATAAATTTTTAATTTAAAGTTAATTGAATTTTTTTTAATGATAAACCTTTTTCCATTTTTTAATTTACCATAATGACCCTCACAACTCCAATCAAACCTTTAATTAGTTAATTACTATACCGTTAATTAAAAAATGAGTGACATAATCTAAGTTTCTTGGGTTGATTAACAAATGAGTGAACTCATGAAGGAAGAAGTGATGATGAATCATTAAACAAGTCAACAATATAATTAACAAACCGACCAAACAATATTATATATATAATATTTGTATTATTTATGTAAAAATATAATAATTGCGGATTTCTATTATTTTAAAAATATGCATTCTATTTTCAATTAATGAAATTAATTTCATTTTTTTCTAGAAAAAATAAATATTCCATATCATGACACAAATATTAGGATGAAATTATTTTATTTTAAGGGATGGGAATTAAGTGAATCATTGATCATGAATGATTAATGAATTATTAAACATTGTTTGATTCATTTTTACATGCATCAATTCTCCAAATAATCCTTTGGAATAAATATCTTTTGAGATTTTTTTTTCATTTTTCAAAAATAAAAGAATTAATTTATTATCTTTGGATTATTTACTATTTAAAGCAATAACATATGAAGATTGACCTACATGGAATGATATCCATTCATCAATATCTTAACATATAAGCAAAATATTTTATAATCCAATTGTGGTTAAAAATAAAAAAATAGTAAACTTTATCATTAAAGAGTAGATGGGATTTCAATCTATCATCTATCCGTATATAGAATTATTTTGAACAAGAAAAAATAATTAGCATTTCTTTAATTAGATTATATTTGTTGAATTAAATTTTAATAATTACATCTAAAAAAGACCTTCATTTTACATTAAACCAAAGAAACAATTCTTAGTCTACTTTTTTTATTAATAATTATTATACAGTATAGCAGTGATATATTGTCATTATTATAAGTTAAAATGACAATTTAATAAAAATAAATCATTTATCAACACGAGATATTTTAATTCGTATATCTTATTTTAGATACGTGTCTTATTTTTATTAAATTATCATTGTATAATTAGTTAATTACTATTTTTGACATAAAAAATAGAGAAAATTAATATAAAATATGCAATGGAAATCTATCTCTATCTTGTCTGTGATATGTAATTATGTATATAAAGAAATCTGCAACCAACGCGTATTTAGCAGATATAGACGCACCAAACTCGGAGAACTGAATAAACAGTTGCTTGCACGATCTCACAAGCAAAAAGCCCACACAAAAAACATGAATAAGTGAAAGCATAACTGATTGAATTCATACATTTATCTTGCCTTTTTTCCTTGGTAAAGAACAAAGGTAAGCTATACCTTTCCTTTACTTCTCTCTATTAAAACCTTCTTTTTTGACATGAATTTAAGGTGGGTTCTTGTTTTCCACTAATGGATTCGCTCAAAAATGGGATTTTTTTGATGGGTTCTACATAACTGCCTGTTTTTGGTGCGTTTTATTACCTCTTATTTGTTCCTTTTCTTTTTGCAAGTTCTGTGTATTGATTTTTTCTTGCACATGTGTGTTTCTTTGTATATCTGGATTTTTTATATTTTCAATTTATGATTTGGGTTTGAAGGCATAAGATCTTGAAGGCGGATTGCGAGCTTAATCTGAACTTTTGCTGTTTGAGTTTTATGTTATTGGCTTGTTGGGTTTATTGTGATTTGCAGATTCTAACTCAATTTTTCATTTTGAGAAAAAAAAAAAAAACTCTTAGTTGTAGTTATGCTAATGCATATGTTGGGAAGTTTTTTGAAGTTCATATTGTTTTGATATTATTTTCCCTTATTATCTTGCTGAAGTTAGCCTTTTCAAGCATGCCTCTTAGTTCTGCTATGCTTTTTGAAATTGACATTACAGAGCTTTGGCTTTCGTAGATACCAGCTGCTTGTTGTAGGATTTAGTTGTAACCAGTGAGAAATAGTATGCTAAAACTAAGTTTGCCAGCATTTGCTGAGATAAAAGTTAGGCCCTTTAGGGGCTGTTAATATTCCTTTTTTTCAGGTACCCGTCAATTGCAAAACAAAATAATAAATTCTGTTTGTCTATTTGTTTAATTACCCTTTTGATTTCCCCCTTGTCCATTCATTAGAATGCAGAGAAGTACAACATAAGGTTAAGGCTTTCAAACTTTTTGATTATTTGGCTTTTTAATTGATCCAATCCAAAAAGAAATTATGTTGTCATGTTTTGCCCTTCAAATGGTTAATTCACTTTATTGCCTCTTTCAATTTCTTTTCATAGTTGTGTTGTATTTTTAGCATATCTGAAAAGACACGAGTCAATGCATTTTATTCATTACTAGACCTTTCATATTATCTAGGACCAAAAAATTAGATTGTGGATCTTTTGCTATATTTTGTCCCAAACTCTATAAAATTATCACAATGTCATTTAGTTCCATATCTCATTAGGATCATGATATTATGTGTAGTACTAAATGGCATTATTAATAGTAAATGATGCAATATATGGTTGTTATTTTATTTCCAGACTGAGGATTTGAATTTGCTCCAGTTTGAATCATGATGGTACATTTAGTTGAGTTTTTTTTTCTTTTTTTTTTTTAACATTAATAACAGTTCTCTGAATTTCTGTGTAATTGTTTACATTATTAAACGCAAATTCAACATTATAAATAGTCATGCTTGGTTTTCAGGTTTGTGTATTCCATTTTTTGAGTCTGTGCATCTTGCACTTGATTAATGGCTGAGCAAAGCATCAGTCTACCAGTGACCCCCAGATCAATTGAGTCAGATGCAGTTTATGCTAGAAGACACTCTATGGGGAAGCCTAGTTCTTCGGCGAGTGGAGAAAAGGTTCTTCCCAACTATCTCCGAACTTCTACTGGTTCCTGTCACGATTTCTGTAAATATGGGAGGAAACATGCATTTGAAGAGAAGGGAAGGCGTCCATTTATAAAAAGGAATGCAAAGAAGCCACCAGATGAACAAAATCTTATAGAGCTTCACCCAGAGAGAAATAAGGCATCAAAGGTTAATTACAAACCCAGTCCGAATATCCCACCAAAGACTCCTGAGATCATAAAACGGGAAGTATCTAGAAAATCCCTAAACAGACAAACTCCTGTAATAAGTAAAGTTATCTCTGAGGCAAAAACATCATCAGGGGTATTGTTGACAAAATCAGCTGACAGGCAAAGTCCAGTGTTGAAGGAAGGTCCGACCAAGAAGAAGATAACATCAAAGGAAGTGTTTACAAAATCATTTGATAGCCAAAGTTCAGTATCAAGTGAAATTTGGGGTCAGAAGGGGAAGAAATCAACCCAGGAGAGGAAGCAGAAATCGACAGTCGAGCTCAGAAATTCACCTGATTTGAAAACCCATTTATCTCCAAAAGTTGTTAAGCCAGATGTGTCATCTTCTTCTGGAAAATTAGAGGTATCTACGAAGCAAGTACTGTCAAAAGTTAAAAGAGATAACTTGTCTGCAAAAGGTGCCAGTTCTTTGAAACTGAAATTGTCCGCTCCAGATTCAAGGGTTTCAAGTGTTTCAACTATTAGAGGAAATGCCAACAATAAGACAGGACAGAGGAAATTGACCTCCATAATTGCTGCAAAGAGAGTACAGATGATGCCCGGAGCATTGCAATCTCCTAAATCTTCCAGTAGTGGAATTGCAAGAGGATTGGCATCCCCAAGAATTTCCTTGACTCGTAGGCCTTCTCTCAGTAGAGTTGCCAGCCTAAATGCACGGAAGAAAAAGGGCTTAGAACTAGCATCTGCTCTGAAGAATCAGAAAAAGATTGTAAAGACCGAGAATGAGCATCCCAAGATTAAGCATGATGATCTTGACCAATCCATCAAAGTAACCAACAGTGATTTGGTGCAGGAAAAAACACTATATGTTGTCAAGATGGAAGCTGAGAAGAAGCATTTGGATCCTGTTGATAAGGTTAATAATTTTGCTGAATCATCACCACCTCCAGTTTTATCAGCTAAGTCTCCAACCCTCCCAGAATCTCCATTATTGTTATCTCATAATGAAGAAGATGAAGAGGAATCTGAGTATACTGTAACTGAATCAGAAGATGACCTCCTCTCTGAATATGATGAAACTGAATACATGGAAGAGGCAGAAATCCGGGAAGGGGAGCAGAATTGGAGGCATAGCAAGGTTGGGATGGTTTCTTCTTTGGATAAAAATGACCAAGCTGTGAAATTAAAATTCAGAAGGGGAAGGGTGATTGACATTGATACTCGTGATAATTGCCCAAGGAAGCTCAAATTCAGGCGAGGAAGAGTGTTGGAGGATAACCAAAATTTCAAAGCTGGTGCCCGAAGAAGCTTCAAGAGAAGGGGAGCTGAAGGCCACGCAAATGATGGCAAGCCTCGTTCAGAAAAGGTTGTTTTGAGACATCAAGATGTGCATGGAAAGAAAGATGGCCTGGTACTGTTTAATAATGTCATTGAAGAAACAGCAAGTAAACTTGCTGAGACCAGGAAAAGTAAGGTTAAGGCCTTGGTTGGTGCTTTTGAAACAGTGATCTCCCTCCAAGATAAGAAACCAACTACAAATACATTCTCTTGATTTGAAATAGAGCCAAAAAAGAAAAACTATAATAGAGTAAATAAAATTTTCTGAAGTCAAAAGAAAGGACAAGACAGGATAAAAAGTTATGAAGTGATTTTTTTTTTTTTTTTCAGATTAACAGTCTAATGGTTTTTTACAAAGGAATGGTAGGAAAATAAAGTACAAAAATACAAGCTGATAAAGTTGCAAAAGGATCAGTTGACATTAGATATCCTGGTTGCAGAGTTTGGCAAAGTCCTGGTATTGATTTTGACATGCTTCACATGTGTTTTTCACTTTGATGGTATGCATGTTCTTGTACACCTAATATGATTGGTTTTTTATTTTGTTCTTGTGAATCAAATATATGTAATTTCAAGGGAAAAAAAAAAAAGAAAGAATAAGTTCAGAGTCAGTTTTATCCTCTGAAGTTTGTTGGATATTGCTTTTTCAGTTTTTTCTGATACAATGTGAATGGGATAACTAATTTGTTTTCATTGATTACTTTTCTCTTCATGACTACTAATTTTGTTGGTACTGACTATGCCTCCATCAAATAAGTAATATACTGATTGCATGAATATTAAGCAACCTCTATCTCCTTTAGGTAAAGGGTGAGAACACAAAGTCTGGTTCCAGAAGCGCACTTTGTTAAAAGGGCAAAGTATCTTACTTTATGATCCGAGTGGGTGTAAAATCCGAGTGGGATTACACCTCGTAGTTATATATAAAAAAAAAATAATATACTACACCAATCAATATAAATGATGCTATATTACAAATTCGCATTAGGAAGTGCTTCAATCTAAATAGATTTTTTACACAATTACAATTTTCTAAATATATTATAAACTACATTGAGCCGCATTTATGGGCAGTTAGCCGAGATGGAGAGACTTAAACTTCTTTTTTTTAATCATAAAATTAGGGTACAACACAATAACTTTTCAAGGGGTCATCCATTTTAGTTTTAATGGGATCCGGTGCGTGTTGGTATGATTGGATGGAGAGAATTAAACTAATAAATATAGAGACTCATTAAAAGCAGAAATTACAAATATTACAAATTAAATGAAAATTAAAAGAAGGGAGAATCAGACATCAGTTTTACTGCCATGGCAACTAAAAAGGATGCTTTTCTACTTTCTAAACGACAGTGAGAATTCCATTTGAATGAAACTCAACCACATTAAACTGGTTGAAGTTTAATCTCTTATTGATTTTGCAATTTATTTATAATAATAATAATAATAATATATTTTTTTCCATTTATTTTTATATTTTAAATACACAAACGTCTTAAGACGAGTGGGAAATATCAAATAGCCAATGAGGTTGCCAAAGAGGCGAAAAGGTAACAATTTAATAATGAAAAACCAGAAAAATCACGAACCTGATACGTGGACAAATGTTAGGGTTTTAGAATCTTTCTCTGGACGCTACAATGCTTTGGCATTTTCCTATCAAAAGTCCCGACACAAAAATTTTAACAACCAACAGTAAAACAGCAGACTAAGCTTGAATCACCTGACTGTTATTTTCTCCAAAATAACCTCTAATCAACTATCTACACATTGGACAAAAGCTGTCCCATTGGCTCCCTTGCTAAAGACACCTATTGTTCCCAGCTCTCATCTGATAGCGTGGCAAAATATCATTTGTACTTGATTTAACGACTGAAAGTGATTTTAACTCTGTCTGTTCAACTAATATTTTAATATTTTCTTTCTTCCATATGGAACCCGGAGCCTTCTTGTTCTCTTTCGTTTAACTCTCCATCTCTGCAATTTTTGCCATGTATGTATCTGTATTGTATTATCTTTTTTTAGACGGAAATACCCTTTTGGAGAAACAAAAGCCTGAATCTTTTTGTGCATGCAAGTATTTGTCTTTGTTTTATCTTTGATTTTTTTTTAGTTTTTTCTTTTCTTTTATTGTTTGATAAAATTCTAATCCCTTTTCATTTCCTTCTGTGCAGAAATTTTTTTTAGGGGTTTTTCAGGTCATGCGAAAGGGATACTTCTTTGTCTGAGGTAAGAAATTTTGGGTCTTGATTTCAAACAGATTACGATCTGGTCTAGTCTTAGCTTTTTTGTTCTTGTTTGTTTAGTTGAATTTGGTGGGAGCTAGGGTTTTTTCTGTTCTTCATGTTCAATGCTAATTTTGCGCAATTTGGTGGATGCATGAAATGGGTTTGCTTTGGATGTAACTGTTTCAAATTTTTGATGTGTTTTGTCATAATGCCATGAAGTTTGGTAAGGGTTTTGTGGATCTGAAGTTTAGAGGGTATGCAATGAAAAATCAACCAAATCTGTTTGTTTGATTAGGATGCCCTGGGTGCTGGAATTTAGAGAAGCTTTAAAAACTTTAATGTTCACTAACACTAAGTGTTACTTGCGTTGATCGTGCATATTTTTTGTTTCTTGGAAATTTTTCTCCTAAAATAAAAAATGAAGAACAGATGAGGATTTGTGTTGCATTATTTTAGAAAATGTTAATACGTTGAGCTGTGAATTCAGGGAAACTTGTCTCTTTGAGTTTTACATATGTGAATTTGATTTATGGCATGGATGTTGTAGAACCTAAGGACAAGAGTTTTCTTCTAAATGGGGTTGAGCTCTCTGGTAAATATTAGGAACTTTGAAATTTGGGAAAAGTGTGCCTCTTGGGAAGTGTATAAGCTGATAATTCTTGAAATTAAAGGAAGTTTTGTCCGCCTTATTGCTACAAATAGCTCTTGAATCTGTAGTTATGTTCATTTGATAGGCTTGTTTTAAACTAAACGGGGTTTTTATGTAACTCATGTGTGCATGGTGTGCAGCTTCACTTTGGATGACACTTGAGATTAATTATAATCGCATGCAAGGGAAATTATTGTTTCAAAAATATGAAAATTATTGTTTCAAAAGTTATCTAACTATACATCAAATCAATATTTTGTATACAAAAGCCAAAAACCCTAAAATTGTTGTTATTAATGTGGAAAGGTGCGCAACACCAAAATTTGCAAATTTAAGTGCACGATAAGTCATCCACAAGGTTGAGGTTGTTACAAGATTAAAGGTGCAAAGTTCTTGGTGAATTTATACATTCGGCCTTTAATTTTATGCAAAATCCTTTTAGTGGAAACATCCAGTTATTTGCAAAATCCTCTAATTTTACTTCATCCATGTTGCTTTCTAGGTATGTATTTGGATTGTCAGTAAATGAAAAGACTGCTGCTAAGTATAAGTGATTGGAAAGTATAATTGATTTAGAGCCACATTGAATTATAAATTGTAAAGTTTTCCCTATTCTTAATGAATATATCTGAAAGTGTTTAATCTGAACACTAGCTTGTAAATTTGAAGCATCAAAGTAAAGGTTCATTTCATTCAGTTCCTCGACTATTTTACGTGGACAGACTGTTCCTTAAATCCGATATAGGTTTTACGTTTGATGAGTAACTGATATAGGAACCTCAGTCTTAGCCTGTTTTAGTTGGATTCTGTCAGGTTGTGAGCCTTACTTTTTTTTAAATGTGTTGTCTTGCTCTTTATACTTTTTCCTCCCTCTTGTTCCTCTTAACCATCTACTCATATATTTCATCATTAATTTCACCGCTGGGCTCATTTTTAGGGCTTTTATTGTTTAGCTCAGAGATTTGTTTGCCAAATGTGATAGCTTTGTATTGGTACATTGTTGATCCTAATGGGAATCTGTAACAAGGGCTTAGTGTACTTGTTTCTTTCTTTCATACTAGGTGTTCGAAATGATTTTAACAAAGCAGTATCGCTGTATTCATTCATCAAGTTGCCAATGCACAAAAGGGCATCTAAGCGAAGATGTGATTTTTTTAGTGTTTCAACAGTTGAACTGGAACCCTAAGTTGATTGCCACTCTGTCATGTACATGTAAATGGTTTGATGACCTGGCCAAGCGAGTGCTATGGAAGGAGTTTTGCAAAGCTAGGGCTCCAAAGATGATGCTTGATCTGCAATCTAGTGGAAGTCACAGTGTCGATGGAAATTGGAGAGCACTTGGGAAGTTGCTTATTTACTGCTCAGGATGTAGCAAGGGTGGCCTGTTCAATAGCATCCATATCCCTGGTCATTTTGTTTATAGGACTCGTTTTTCTAGGACTTCAGGGAAGAGTTTTCTTTTGCCCCAATGCAGAACAGATGTTTTATATGTCTCTGACCCTTGTGAACATCTTGACCAAGGGGAAGAAGGGGATGTGGGATTTTTTCGTGGAATTTTCAAGTCCTTCTCGATGTCAAAGGTCCGGAAAATGCTCATCAAAAGGAGAGCCCAGCTTCATCCAACAGAGGTGTGCCCTTATTGCAAGGCAAAATTGTGGAGCATGCTACAAGCCAAAATGATACCACAAAGTGCCAGCTGTAGGCTGGGTTCATATGAAGATTGCGTTGAGTATTATGTGTGCCTCAATGGACATGTGCTTGGAATCTGCACCCTCTTGCCCTTGTCAGATTCAGAAGAGGCATCTGAGTAGGAGTGATGATTGGCACAGAGACCAGGTATCCTCTGAGCATTTTATTTTTGTTGAAATCAAAATGTGCTGAAGCTTCAGCTTTTGAAAATGGTAAACCATTAAGCAAAACAACCTCTTATTGTACAAGCAGTCAGAAAGCTTTGCTTTCAGCCTTTGACTTTCTTGGACTTGTCAAATGAATTCGAGTCCCTTATGTATCACCTTCTAACTGTCTAAGATTATTCTTTAGGTTGCTTTGTAAATTTTTAGTGGTTTTCCAGCCTGAAGCATGAGAAATTATGGGAAAAGATAAATGAAAAGTAACTGAATTTAGAAGAATATGGGACATAACTTGTGATTATGGAAAAAAATAGACATCTTTTATTTGTGCTCTAAAAGAATGGAGTAGGAGTGATCATTTTAGTGACAAACGTTTGGTGGAGAGGTGGAGCGGTGGAGCCGCAGAAGCATATGTTATCTCTTCGCCAGAAAAGGCATCTATTGTTCTTTTCCTGTTGAATGACTAATGAAGTCTGAGAAATTGACATTCTCTGCTAATATGCATACCTTGAAAAGTTTGTTGTTTAAGCATGAAAGTTAAGGATAATAATTTTTTCCCGTTAAGCTCACTTCATAATGGCAGAAAGTTAAATCATATTCTAAGGTCCAACATTTGTGCTAGAACAATCTTGTCCGACTGTGGTCTTACATGATCTTACATGACCCGTTTGTTGGTAGTCAGTAGCATGTATAATTCCCTAGTGGAGGTAACTGGCCCTAAGGAGACAATATCACTATGTTTTCTCTGCTGTTCTGTGCCCAACACCCGTGTTATTATGTGCCTTCTTTCCTGGAGAATTGCAATTGACAAGATCTTCCCTTTTGGTTGGCAGTTCATATCAATTATCATTGTAGGAATGGATTGTGTCTTCCTGCAAGATTGACATTTGGACGAGCCATGTGATAGGCTCTCTGGAGATTTACTTCGCTGAAGCTGAAGTCAACTATCGCAATCTCATCTGAACTCTCGACTGCACTGCTTTGCCATCTTGCCATTGGCTAAATGTTTCATATTGAATGGTTGACCTCCAACCATCTTGTTTTAATCATCTATTAAATTACTGTGAGCATGTAATACCATGTAAACATTATGTATGCACCCGTATCAATATATATATATATATATATATATATATATGGATGGCAGATTGATATCTGCGATAATTCAGGTATTTGATTGAAGTAGAATGAAGTTCTTGCAACATCTACAAGTCCGTCCTCCTTCCCCGTAGTTATTCTTCTGTCCTGTGATGGAATGCAATGGTGGAATCATCCCGTTGTCCTCGTAATATCCTGTCATCTTCACCTGCATAAAAAAATTTGAAATAGCAGCCGGGGGCTAGCCATTGGTACGAGTCTGGTCAAAATTTATACGGATTGATGAATCATTGATGAAATGAATCAGGCTACTCAGTTTGCTAAAACAGAAGTGCCAATTATTGCTATGTTCTTGTTGTATCTACTACTAGTTCTAGCAATGGTGAACATTAATTCCATGATTCTGACAAGTAAGCGTTTACATAATCCAGAACTGGGAAGGGGCAATGTCGTCTGACAAATTAAAAAAAAAAAAAAAAAATCCCACGCTTTCAGGGTTGCCTTAAAAAGTTTGTGAAGCGAATAGACAACATACACAAGGTTCAAGATAGGATAAAACTGTATTCTTGTACAAGAGTTTATGTTAAGATACAGTAACTGAAAGTCATATAAACAAGTTATGCACCAGATCATATTCTCTGTTTCATTCCAATTCTTCAAAGTCCAACCCGGAAATCTTCATCTGCCCAATGTTGACTGCATATTCTTTCAGACGTCAGTCAGCACACATTTGACAAGGCGTTTCAAGATGTAAGAATGTCATACTAAAGCACAACATTAGAAGCACACTGTTAGCATGTAAAAATCATTGTTCCAAGGCATACGCCATGAAATCCAGTTCAAGGGCCAGCGCTCCTGAAAAGGGCAAGAAGTTCTTGCACTGAAGAATTATCTTCACATCTTTTTTGTTTTTGACAAACTAGGAGACAGAAGAAGATGAAAGAACCTCAACTTAGTATAAGAATTCCTTCAATAAAAAGATAAAGATCTTAACAGCACGAGAACTGTGTCATGAGCCTCCAAATTAACTTAATTTGAAAATGGTTGATGAATGTTAGTAACTAATTAATGGCCAGCCCATTATGATAATAAACTAATCTCTTTTGCAGAAATCATCCAATGAACGTTCGTAATGTGTTAGAATTATGATATGGCTGACATGCAAGTGGAACACATAATGTTGTATGCATCTCTTATATTGCTATGGAAAAATTGAAAATGACTACTTGAAATGATAACCGGATTAAAATTAGTAATATCAGGTAGTCAGCAGAGCGCAAGGCTCTAGAAATGTTGGTGAACATAACTTTCTTCAAAAATTTAAAGGATGGAATACGTACCAACAGCATCTAGCCCAGCTAATTTTGGCATGAACTTCCTAAGATGCTCTTCTGCGGCATTCTCAGCTTTCAATGTCTCGCACACAAATGACACAGAAATTTTTTTCTTCCCAGGTTTTTGTTCTGCCATTGCTACGATATCCTTTTCCCAGCTGTGAGACAGGATAAAAAATGCTATTGTAATTCACAAGAGAAAATTTATAAGCCTCACAAAGCCCCAGCATAAAAGTTTACACCAAATGATTAGCTACAAGAATTTAATAAAATTATAATAGATAACATCCAGCATGATCTAATATTTTCTGATTCTGAGGGCAAAGTTCTGAACTGCTACTCTATCCAAAACTACTCTAATTTTTTATCTTTCCCCTTCCAAAAAAAAAAAAAAAATTGTTGGCCATTGCTACGATATCCCTTTCCCAGCTGTGAGACAGGATAAAAATGCTATTGTAATTCACAAGAGAAAAATTTATAAGCCTCCACAAAGCACCCAAAGCATAAAGTTTCACCAAATGATTAGCTAACAAGAATTTATAAATATATAGATAACATCCAGCATGATCTAAATATTTTCCCTGATTCTGAGGCAAGATTCTGAACTGCTACTCTATCCAAAACTACTCTAATTTTTTTATCTTTCGCCCCTTCAAAAAAAAAAACCAAAAAACTTAAAAAAAAAAAAAAAAACATGTATTAATATATCTTTAATCATTATATTACTGCAGATATACTACTCGTACAAACTTGTTTTTTTATTGATTAGTAAACAAGAACTTTCACTTGTGTGCAAAAGAAGGGGTTCAATCGAATTAAACCAAAAAAAGTAAGGAAATTAGTTAAAGAGTCTATACAGAATGATTATTGGGCACAAAATACAATAGAAAGAAATCTAGGATACATCACCTAATATATATGTAAACACAAAACAACCATCTTGTTTTTCCTAGTCCTCCTAACAGGTTTTTCTTTTTGTTTTTTGAAATAATTTGAGTTGTGCCTATGTATGGTGCATCCAGGAGGGAATAGCTACAATTGGGGTTGGGGCTACAAATGTTAAGATCGAGATTGAATTGTTGAAGGTATACTTGAACTCAAGTCGAGCTTGAAAAACCCGATCTCGAGCTCTTTTACAATTTATAATAATAATAAAAAAGACATTTCTTTACAGGATTGAACTCACGCTCAACTCATTTATTAAATGAGCTTGATAAGCAAGCTCGAGTTCCACTTCTCAAACTTATAGATCGAGCTTGAAAACCCAATTTCGAGCTCTTTTACAATTTATAATAATAATCTTGAAAACCCAATTTCGAGCTCTTTTACAATTTATAATAATAATAAAATAGACGTTTCTTTACAGGATCGAACTCAAGCGCAACTCATTTATTAAATGAACTTGATAAGCAAGCTCGAGTTCCACTTCTCAAACTTATAGAACAAGCTTTTCCCAAATTGAACCTCGAGCGACTCACAAGCAGCTTGACTTATTTACATCCTTAGCTACAATTAATATCAATGACAAGTAGTCACCAAGCAACACAGTTTCAGAACTTAGGAAGTCCAAGATGGCCTACCCATGAGCATGATCAATGTTATGGAAGCGAGCAGCATCATGGCCTCTACACTCTACTACAACAGCTTGTTCTTTCCCACTCTGCCAAACATTTATTAGAGGCAATAAAAAGAAAAAAATGAAGATTAGACAAAATTTGTATAGAAAGAAAAACAGGAATGTAGAAATCAAACAGTTCCCTTACATTGTAGTCAATGATTGTAAGCTTGATCAGGCGATAATCCTCACCCCTGCTGCACTCCCTTTCACAAGTTAATTCTTTTCACCATAAAGAAAATAAGTTCAGAAAGGAAAAAAAAAAATATATATATATATAAAATATATATGTACTATATATATATATAGTAGTAGTTACTATATATAATTTTAAAAAACTCACAGTTAAAAACTATCCGTAACAAAATGAAGTCTACTACTTGTTTAACAGAAACAATTCCATTGTTGATCTACCTAAAGTCAAATTGTGTTTGGCCATTGAATTTGTTTTCCGGTAAGAGTCAGTACGGATGGAGAAATGGACTGTTTTATGTCCAATCTATATTTTAAAACTCCACATTAAAACTATCCTAACAAAGATCTACTACTTTGTTTAACAGAAACAATTCCTATGTTGATTCTACCTAAAGTCAAATTGTGTTTGGCCATTGAATTTTGTTTCGGTAAGAGTCAGTAGGATGGAGAAATGGACTGTTTATGTCCAATCACCATTCGATATCATCGCCAAGCTCTACTTCTAGTTGATATATCTAGCAAAAAGAAGTGACAAGCTAGAAAATAAATAACCAAACTTTCCCGTGCCAAAAATTCTATTAACTGAAAGAAAATAAATCATTTAGAGATTCTTGTAGTACAGGGGCTAACTATGGAGACATGTCAATGTTGGAATGCTCAACACATCTCATACAGATGAATACACAACATAAAAGTCCAGCAGCTACAACCTAAGTTGCAATTGAGAATTCAAATATATGAAAACTATTGATGAGACTTTTAATGCAAAAGGAATAATTTTGTTTGTTTCTGCACAACATAACCCACAATGGAGGACTCCTAAAAGCATGTGCATGTGCATTTTTACATAAAGGACTCCTAAAAGCACTAATTTTCACCAGCACTTTCAAATTCATAGCAAATTTGAGAGGACAGTACTGTTCTCAGCTCTTGCACATACAAACATTAGTAATGAAGAGAAAACTTGGACTTTTGCTTGGTTTTCCAAATATTATGCAAATCCAGTTTCCTTCTTTTCTTAAGAAAATAAAATTCTTTCCAGTACAGCCTGAAAATTTCTTTTCCAGCCTGGTATCCTGGTTCTTAAAGCCATTTCTAAAACTAAGAAAAGTCGATAGTAAAAACTACATTCCCAAAATAAATTTATTAATCATTAGAGCAACAATAATAATATCCAGGGCATCATTGCTTCGACTAATGCATCCAAATCCAGTGTAATCAGTAACGGACACACACATGCGCAAATCAAATACATAGATAAATAAATGTAGAGGAGTACCAGTGCCATGAAGGCCATAGCAAATGGACTGAGGAAGCTGAATAAAGTGACCAGATATGGACCCATATGGTAATAATGCTATAGATGCCACTCCTGCTTTCACCTCCTCCATTTTTTCACTATGTGATTCTGCTTCCTTTGAATCCTTTCCCTCTTCTTCCTCTGCCACAGTAAATGCAAATAAAAATTAAAAAAAAATGTGTAAAATTGATCCACTAGAGAGTAATAAACAAAATTTAGACTAAACCCATTAAATGAGAACCGAAAACAAATGAACTTTAACTTACCCATCACTTGAAAATTTCTGGTAAATGCTAATCCTTAACCTTGTAATTGATCTTTAACGTCGTTCTATTATCATATATGAGCCGCAGAAGCCGGTACTGCTGCCTGGAAATCGAATAAACGGCAACTCATAAACGGATAAACTGGTTGGGAGAAAAGAAAAAAGGACGGCGGTCTTTTATAGTTAACTGGGAGTCATTCTCCTTCACCTACACGACGTGTCGTTCACCAACCGCGACTAATCTTCACAAATTACACGGCATCGTTTGACTCGACCGATTCTTTCTTTTGTTTTTGGAACGAGACTCGACAGATAAAAAATGCCGTTTGCTGCACTCGACAGGTAAAATCTTCACTGCACAGTCTCTCTCTACTTCCCTCATCTTTATCCCACCAATACCCAAGCTCTTTCCAGGTAGCCTATCCCTTAAAGACTCAATTTTTTTCCCTTTATTTTATGTTTGACATCCATCTTTCGCAGGTATGGCGTTTTATTTTGATTTCTTCCACTAGTTTAAGCAACGTTATTAGCTTTTCCTTATTTGAGGGCTTATACGGGATTATACTACTGGGTCCTGCTCATAGTCTTGGTTAGTCGTTGTGTCAGAGATGTTTTATTGAAGTGAATAACGTTAATGGTTGCTTATTACTCTACTCTGCCTCCAGTAATGGGAGAAATGCTAGGGAATTCAATTCCAGTTAATTTGAGGTCGAATGGATTTACTTGTCAAAGTAGCTTGTATATGCCAAGTAATTGTGAATATAAGAATTATCATTGTAGCCAGTATAGTAGTTTGGGTGTGAAAATGAGTAGAAGTCAGGTTGGACTATGTGATGTTAGTGTGGTTTCCATGTCCATAAAGGGGTATACAGGATTTAGATGTGTGGAACTGAAGATACCATATTTAAGTTCAAGCTTCGGGTCCACTAAAATAGCAAAATTGTTAGCTGTATCAAATTTGGTTGCTAGCAATGATTATGGGTTGGTTTCTGAAGAAAATGAAAATAAGGAAATGATTCAAAGAGGACATGAAGTTAATACAGATTGTTATGAAGAATATGCCCCTCCTTGGGGAAATTTGATGCTTTACGGGGAATTGGATATGGATCCTGAAAGTATTATCCAGCCGTCAGTGGCTTCAAGAAATGATTCAAGAAATAAAGTTACCATTGATGACACTAGGGTACATCTTTTAGAGGAAACAGATGGAGAAGAGTTATCAAGAAGGATTTTGATGCTTAGTAGATCTAATAAAGTTAAAAGTGCAATAGAATTGTTCAGGTCCATGGAGTTCTCGGGTATACGACCCAATGGACATGCATGTAATTCTCTTATCTCTTGCCTTTTAAGAAATAAAATACTTGATTATGCATTGAGAGTCTTTGGGTTCACGAGGAGAAATGAGATCTCAACAGGCCACACGTATGCCTTAATTCTAAAAGCAGTAGCAGATACACAGAGTATTGAATCCTCGCTTAATATGTTTGCAGAATTAGGAGGGTTTTCCAGAGAGAATAATGATTTTGATGTGATTGTTTATAACACAATGATATCTGTTTGTGGAAGATCAAACAATTGGGTTGATACAGAGAGAATATGGAAAAGCATGAAAGAAAAGGGCCTTCATGGGACACAGATTACTTACTCGCTGTTGGTTAGCATTTTTGTGCGATGTGGCCAGAATGAGCTGGCGCTTGATGCATACAATGAGATGGATCAAAATGGAATTAAACCAAGAGATGACACATTGCAGGCTGTAATTGGAGCATGTGCGAAGGATGGAAAGTGGGAATTAGCTCTATGTATTTTCCAAAATATGTTGAAACGTGGGCTGAAGCCAAATCTTATCGCATGTAATGCATTGATGAATGCACTTGGAAAAGCTGGTGAACTCAAACTTGCATTTAAGGTCTTTGAAAAAGTTAAATCTTTGGGTCATACACCTGATGCGTACACATGGAATGCATTGCTTAATGGACTATACAGGGCAAATCAATTTGCTGATGCTCTTCAGCTTTTTGAGAGCATAAAAAGGGAAAGAAGCTCTCAAATTAATGAACACTTGTATAACACTGCTTTAATGTCATGTCAGAAGCTTGGTTTATGGGATAAAGCTCTGCAGCTACTATGGCAGTTGGAAGCTTCTGAACTGCCGATCTCAACAACTTCTTATAATCTTGTTATTGGTGCTTGTGAGATTGCTAGAAAGCCAAAAGTTGCTTTACAAGTCTATGAGCACATGGTTCACCAGAAATGCACTCCAGACACATTTACTTATTTGTCATTGATAAGAAGTTGCATTTGGGCATCTCTTTGGAGTGATGTGGAAGAAATTCTAGATGTAAGATATTTTGATATTCTATGCTATACCTATTTCAGTCAAATCTTTACGTTTTTTAAACTTACCCAGGTGATGAAACATAAATTAAAGAAATATTTCGATGAGCTGCATCTCTAACAAATATTATATGAAAAACTTTCTTGTCTGTTAATATGTCAAATCCTTGTACTGGCAACTTCTCTAGATTGTAAAAGAAAATTTACAACTTAGTTCCTTCCCCGCCCTTCCCTGTACACTTGTGAATAGTTGCACTTCTTGCATTAGAATGTGTATTCGGTTTCTAATCTGAGTAGTAATTATAATCAACTAACCAACAGAATAACTAAATTTTGTCAATTGGCAGTGCAATGGACCGTAATGTCTATGATGTTCAAACTTAATTCCATATGCACAGGTCCTTACACCTTGTTTATTTGATTGTCTGCTTGAACCTTTTATTTTCCGGATAGAACTATGTCCTTCGCATTCCAAATGTTAACAAATAAAGATTTTCCTTTTCCTGCATTGCAGAAAGTTGCACCAGACGTGTCTCTCTACAATGCTGTCATTCATGGTATGTGTCTAAGAGGCAGAGTTGAATCAGCTAAGAAGTTGTACATGAAAATGCGCAGCAGAGGTCTCAAACCTGATGGCAAAACACGAGCAATGATGCTTCAGAACCTACGAAAAGTTTCGACGAAATGGAGAAGGTATTCTCACCCCAGACTGAACAGATCCCCTTGCCACAATAGCAGACTTCAAGGAAGAAAATTCAATGTAAATGGAAGATGATCAGCTGACAATTTGTTTATGTGCAAATAGCCCATGTATAGTAGAATTACGTGATTGATATGCTTCATTGTAAAAATAACCTTCTTATACAACTTGCACTTTCATTATTTACACAAAATTCTTCTTTCTGTTACTATGATCATCTTCATTTATGAACTTGACATTCGGCGGTTATGAGGCTGCCAAAAAGTAACTATTTACTTGATGCAAATCTTCACCTATGAAAATTAAATCAAACAGCTATTATAAGTACTCTTTGTACAAGACTGTTCAGTTAAAGCCTATTCTCTTACGCAGATAGCAATCTGAATAGTGCATTTCTTATTGAGGTAGCCATTCAAATTAGTAGGTGAATGCTTGAAGCATGAGAATTTATACATGTCAATATCACAAGAAGAATGTCGTTGCATCAGACAACCCCCCGTTTACTGTACAGATATCTAGAACATTTCTTATGGTTCTGGTTTTGGTTTTTGTCGAAAATCAAACTAGAACCGAAACCGCACAGCCTAATTTGCATGTGGAAGATTTCATGGCATTAGCATCTGATTTACAGTACGGATGTTGTTTCAACTTCTAATGTGAATCGACTCCAAAAGAAAGTTGTCATACACATCAAAGTGAAAAATACACTCTCAAAAGAAAGGCATTCTTTTATTAGATTTCTCACATCGCTTTGTTGGCTATGCTTATTTCAAGTACAGAGTCATTAGCGTGCTCCAAAGGCTTAAAGGGCAATGACTCCTCTAGATGACTAAATATCAATAAGCCAAACAACTTCGAAATGCTTCAACAATGCAGAAAATATACCTTGAGGCTTTATATTTTCTATATAAGTATAACATTGTACAAGATGAAAAGTTCATTTAGTATCTATTTAAGATCTTCCAAAAAGAACTTGTACCGCATCATTGTGTGCATAAACTCAAAAGGCATTCATCGAGTTTGTGAAACAGCTCGACTTTCTGCAGGAGAAGAATCTGCACTAGTTTCAAGCCGCTTGAAGAGTAGCTTTTGCTGGGGAAGTTGGCCATTTGAAAATGCTGTAACCTCTGTGTCTATTAACACAGTATCCTCGTCCTTAAATTCTCCTCTTAAGATACCCTTGGCAAGTTCATTTTCAACATACTGCTGAATCACCCGCTTGACTGGCCTAGCTCCATAGTTGGGGTCATAACCAAGACTCCCTAAAAGCTCCACAGCCGCCTCGCTCACCTGCATTTTCATCTTCCGGTCTGCAATCCTTTGCTGCACACGCTCCAACTGCAATGGCATACAGACGCATGATGTAAGAATCTCAAAAATATTCAATTACTCATGTGAATTTCATGTGCTCCTGGTATTTTATCTCAAAAATTTCTCAAACAATCAAATTGACCAAATTAAAACGACTCGTGACAAGAAAACTTCACAGAAGCAATCTTACCTGTAATCTGACAATACTGTTTATCTGATTGCGATCCAGAGGCTGGAAAACTATGTACTCATCAACCCTGTTCATGAACTCAGGTCGAAAGACAGATCTTGCAGCTTCCATCACTCTCTGCTTAATAGTTTCATATGCTACCTCCTTTGGCAGGTCATCATCTGTGTCAAGAATGTACTGAGAGCCCACATTGGAAGTCATAATGATGACAGTGTTAGTGAAACTAACAGTGCGACCCTGTGAATCAGTCACCCTTCCATCATCTAAGATCTGAAGGAAGACATTGAACACGTCAGCATGGGCCTTCTCTATCTCATCAAAGAGAATAACTGCATATGGCCTCCTGCGAACTGTCTCTGTCAATTGTCCCCCTTCCTCATACCCTACATAACCTGGTGGGGCACCTATCAGACGTGAAACTGCATGCTTTTCCATGTATTCACTCATGTCAATTCGTACAAGGGCTTCTTCAGTATTGAACATATAGGAAGCTAGTGCTTTAGCCAGTTCTGTTTTCCCAACACCAGTGGGACCCATGAACATGAAGCTAGCAATTGGACGCCGAGGATCTGAGAGACCAGCGCGAGATCTCTGAATTGCTTCAGCTACTGCTTTCACTGCAGGATCCTGACCCACCACACGTTTATGCAGCTCTTCCTCCAAATGTAATAGCTTCTCTCTCTCAGATTGTTTGAGCTTGGAAAGTGGAATGCCAGTCCACTTGCTGACAATCTCAGCAATATCATCTCCAGTAACTTCTTCTCTCAGCATGGACTTTCCTGAACTCATATACTCATCCAACTCTTTCTCAGCATTTTCAAGTTGCCGTTGCAAAGAGTTCAAGCTACCATATTTCAGTTCAGCAGCACGATTAAGATCATACTCTCGCTCAGCCTGCTGAATTTCAAGATTTACCCTATCGATCTGCATAAAGCAAAAAACAAAGATGAGTTACGTCCACAATGATCTGTATTTCTCTAATTTATGTTATGTGAGATGAAAGTCGCTTACTACGTTAAGAAATTTCAAAGTCAGCACAGTATCTTAAGAAATTCCAAAATTCATCAAAATAACTCCCTGTCAATTTCCTGTTTTCAAAACTCACTTTGTTGACCTCACTGACCCATTTTAGACTGTTTAAGACATGCTCAAGAGAGACAATTCTTATGAGATTATCGATGACAATAATAATAATATGCTAATAACAAAAACCATCTGGTCATAATTATACCTCTTCCTTAATTGACTGAATGCGAGTCATTACTGTCTTCTCATGCTCCCATTGCTCCGTCAACTCAGCTTGTTTCTCCTTTAACAGAGACAACTCAGCATCAAGACGGTTCAACCTATCTTTTGAGGCTCTGTCTGTATCATTTGTAAGAGACAGCTTCTCCATTTCCAGCTTCAGTACTGAACGGTCAATTTCATCAAGGGCAGTAGGTTTTGACGTTATCTCCATTTTCAGTTTTGCAGCTGCTTCATCAACTAGATCAATAGCTGCAATTTGAAAAATGCATGAGAATTCCATGGAACTGTAGGTGCTCAAAATGAATTTCATAAACAGTTTGGCATTGATGCAATGCAACTATGCAGCTGCAAACAAACCTAGAAAAATTGCAGGAAATTCAAGAAAGTGACCAAATTAAGAGGAACAGAGAATACTGCCCATTGATTTTCCCTCCCCAATCATGATGATAGCAGTTAAACTCTTTGTGATATAATTAGCTTATTTTTTTGACACTTTGAGTTAGCTGAAATATTTAATGCAACAAAAGTTCCAGGAGAGTCAGAATGAGGTATAGAATTTTAGTTTGCATAGCCAATTGCTATTGCTGAGAAAGCATGAATTGTACCGATTTGCATGCCATCATCAACAGAAAATGCAATGGAAACATAGCCACTGACCATTCAGTCACTAACATAGCATATCAATGCAACAGCTTTACCTTTGTCAGGTAAAAATCTTCCACTGATGTAACGGTCAGACAGAATAGCGGCTTCAACAAGTGCACCATCAGAAATACGAACTCCATGATGCAGCTCATATCTTTCACGCAGCCCTCGAAGTATGGAAACTGTGTCTTCAACTGAAGGTTGATCAACATAAACTTGTTGGAAACGACGCTCCAATGCTGGATCCTTCTCAATGTACTTCCGATATTCATCCAGTGTTGTTGCACCAATGCACCGTAGTTCTCCCCGACCAAGCATAGGCTTCAAGAGATTGCCAGCATCCATTGCACCATTTGTAGCACCTGAAACAGATGATAAATTAATAGAGATTTGCATATCTGTGTAAATTAAGACCATCTTTTTTCCAATTCCATGTGTTAAGGACAGGTTACCATGCTGCATTCCTTTAAACTTTACATGCATGACACGAAGTGGTGGAAAGTTACTTGAATTTTTACTCTTTGATTTAAGATAAATCAATTTGGTACACTCAAAAAAGCCCAACGGAGAAGGAGGAATTTTGATATTTGATGTGAATATTACCTGCCCCAACAACTGTGTGGATCTCATCAATGAAAAGGATAATCTGACCATCTGATTCTGTAACTTCCTTAAGTACAGCCTTCAGTCTATCTTCAAATTCTCCTCGGTATTTTGCCCCAGCAATCAGTGCACCCATGTCAAGGGATATTAGCTAGAAAACAGAAGTTAAAAAAATTAGCACCATATTTTTAAAAAAAAAACATGGATTACAACCAATGCAATGATATCATCCCTCTCAGTGGTAACATCCACCTCCCACCTGAGAGAGCTAGAAGACCTAACAGAGAAAGCAGTCCCTATTGAAACAGAATTTAAAAATTAAGAAACAAACCTTTCTGTTCATCAGAGCTTGAGGTACATCCCCTTGCACAATTCTCTGGGCAAGCCTGTCCAAAAGAAACTGTAAGATTAATCTGCATAAGACAGAAATAGAACACTGGTTCCAGAAATAATTCAGGGTGAGCTTCCCCCTGCATCCAGAACCACAAAAAAAGCCCACCACAAGCAAGCATTCAAATGGCTGGGAATTGGCATATGAGAACCTAAACTCCTCAAGCAGAGAAGATTAAGAATACTAAAAGTTTCAGCACAATGCCAAACCAGAAATGCCCAGTTATGCTGCATACAGAATAAGCAACATACAGGTTGGAACAGGATGTCAAAAAAACCCCTGTTTAAGCAAAAATCGTCAAAGCAATGACAATGCCCTCAACAAACACTTGGCTTTGTGCTTACCCTTCAGAAATTGCAGTTTTCCCGACACCTGGTTCACCAATCAGCACAGGATTGTTCTTTGTTCTCCTAGAGAGAATCTGAATACATCTACGTATCTCATCATCTCTTCCAATAACTGGGTCAAGCTTTCCTGCTTTTGCCATGGCGGTCAAATCTTTTCCATATTTCTCCAGTGCTTCGTATTTCCCTTCAGGATCTGAGACAAAAACAAACTAACAACGTGAGATATTCTAACATTATCAAGCTTTCAACACCTTGAAAAGCAACAAACTCCAATAAGTGAAACAATATGACAGCATCAACAAATAAGCAACTGAATAATGCAGTTAAATTGCTTAAAATAAATATAATACAACTCAATGAAAGCCATCTGTTTTTAATTGCATGGGAAAGGAGGGTCGCTAGGAAATATGCCAAGCCCTCAGCATTACAATCGTGGATGAAGCAAGCTTAATGATTAAACTGTTGAACCAGTTCACAATTCAAATTTGAAAATAACAAAGCTTGAATTGCCTTATAACTTGAGAAACTCAAAACTTTGACCTCACTCAAAAGGAGCAAAGAACAGTGAATAAAAAACAAGGGAAAGAAGAAAAGAATGATAAATACATGCATAGACAAATGCATGCGCAGGTTGGCGCATATGTTCATTTACACATGAAAATACACAAGGTTAAGGAGAGAATATTTACCTTGATCGATAACTGATTGGTGTCCCCTAATTGATTCAACCGCAGATTTCAATGTCTGCAGAGATATCTGAAAATCCTTAAACAACTGTTTTCCAAATCGTTGATCCTGAGCAAATGCAAGGACCAAATGCTCCACGGAAACAAATGAATCCCCATACTCTTTCTTGTATTCCCTGGCTCGCTGTATCAAAGCCTCCAAATCACGTCCTAACATGGAACCAGCAGATTCACCAAGAACCTAGTGTAATTGGACAAAAAGAGAGGTAAAGCAATCAGGTGTTTGTAACAAAGTTTTCTGGCATGCAATGTTAGAACTCGACAGATTGCTTGTCTAACTAAGGAATCTATGACCATATCCATCAAATGATGGATTATATAACAGTAATTCCATGGTAAGGCCTGAGATTTCTCAATTCACTATTCAAATTCTAAAAAGAGTTCATCGATAAACTATAAGATGTTTCAGACCCATCAACACAGCAACAAGAAGCTACCACTCAATTTCCATTTTCAGAATCCTGACATTTTTTAAGCTGTGCCAACCAAGCAGGCATGTAAAGGAGCATTAACAAAAAATATATATATAAGTTACCATTTTCAGAGTTTAAGCAATTAATCAACTTAATCACACTGTAGTCATGTAGACTAAACACTAAAAAGTATCACCCGAATCTAACTTCCATAAACACAGATAAAACCCAGCAAATTACCTTAGGCTGGCGTTGAATAAACTTATCAGTAGCTTCTAAAAGACGAGTATTATCAACTCCAACTTTAGAAAAAATCCTACGAGCAAGTCCATTCTTTTGCTCCAACAAAGCTTTCATCAAATGCTCCGTTTCCACTATTTGATGCTTATTCTCTTTCGCCATATCAGGTGAAGACACAATTGCTTGCCATGCCATATCCGTAAATTCTTGTTGAGTAATCTGTTCAATCAAAAATCCCAAAAATCAATATAGATAACAAAAGAACAGAAGTAAAGCAAATTTCCATAAATTAATAGCAGTTACCCTTCCATTAGAGGCATCACATCTGATAGAGAAAGACCTCCGGTTTCTTGAAATTGGCTCATAACCACCAAAACCACAAGTTCTATTCTTTTTCAATTGAAACGGCTTAAGAGAACAGCGGTTTGCCGATGAGATGTTCAGAGACTGCGGAAACAAGCATTTTCCATTACTTTTAGGCGGACGGCAGAGACTGACTCCGGCAAGCGACGCCGCTGTGGTCGCTGCCATTGCTGAAGCAGCGAAGGACGAGTAAAAAGGAGCTGAGCTAAAGGAAATTAAAGATAAAGATAAGGGCTTTGAGTGGGAATGGAGAGAGGAATTTTGATTTTTGAAGAGAGAAAAGAGAGCTGTTGGTTACTAGTTCATAGAGTTTGAACTTCCAAAGGAAACTAAATAAGCGAGCTGATGCTGTGGAGTGTTCTTGAAAGGTCGCGAATTTGTTGGGATTTGCTCTCTGTTTGCGTGGGCCTATTGTTCGTTACTTGGCCATGTGAAAACACGTGGCTGCTTTCTCTGTATTCGATTGCGGATATGACAGGGAAAGGGGTAAATGCACAAAGATTTATCAAATTCTTGTATCGGATTGTAAATTGGTTAGGTTAAATTTTTGAAAGATAAATAACTAATCAATCTCTCAAATTTAGTTATAAATACAAAATTTTCTCTTTTTTAAATAAATATACGAATTAATCTCTAATAAATAATAATTCAATTCAGTAAAAAAATAATAATAATGTAAATGGTTAAATAATAAACCGTATTAAATTTGGAAGGAATTAATATATAAATTCACTCATCCTATTTTTCATTAAAAATTTTATAATATTTTCAATTTTTATTTTTACTCGTTAAAATCTATTTATATATAATCTGGAAACAAAGAAATATAAGTTGGCACTCTATTCTTTCAGTATCATGTTTTATCTTTTTGCAGCGGAATCTCCGGAGAAACTATGAACAAAAAAGTGAGTGCCTTTTCGTTTTTACTGTGTTCTTACAATATTGCTTTGATGTTTTCAATATGTGAATGGTAATTGGTTTTTGTTGTTTATTTTTGGTTTATTCGATTAGTTTATATTTGTCTATTAAATTTTTTTTAATTTTTATGTAGATAAAAAATATTAAAATCTCTACACGAGAGAAATGATCATCATCTTAATTTCCTATTAATTATAATTGGTTAAATAATTAATAATTATAGATTTTATAATTGGTAGAATTATTATTAAAATTTAATTGAATTATAATACTCATGGGAAATTTATCATAATTGACATTGGTATGTATGTTATTGGTTGAAGTAAATAAATAAAAGATTTTATCTTTTTGTATGACGAATAAAAATATACATATACACATAATTATTTCTCCAATTGTAGAATTATTAATAAAATTTAAATGAATTTTATTTCTTCAATTATTGAATTATTATGACTGCTTTTTTAATATTAGTACTTTAATATTTAGGAGAGAACTTTAAATATAAAATTATTTTATGATTTTATTACATTAATTTTTAAAAATTTATGTTGACCATAAAATAATATATATTAAATTAAGACATAATAACCCACGCAATGCGCGAGCGTTCAATCTAATTAAGAATCTAAAGTAACTTTAATAAAATCAGCCTAGTAAAAATTTAAAATAAAACAATTTTCAAAATTTAGAAAATTAAATTACATTAATATTAATACACTAATATCAAAAATTTTGAAATCAAATTTGAAACCAAATTTGGAACAGTTTAATAAAATTTAAATTTCAACTCAAATCTTCCTAAAAAAAAAAATTCATATCATATCATGTCCCAAAATCTGCAATTAAATTTCTTATCCCCATTATATAATGGGCATTAATATAATTTTTTTTAGTTATTATTATTTATATTTTCAGATTAATTTATACCCATCTAAATGTTCTCTCTGAATATGATTTTAGATACACTCTGCATTATTATTATCATTATTAACAATTCTTTTATGTTTTTTCTTGAAAGGAAGGTGTTAGTATTGATATATACAAGTAAGATTGGTAGATTCTAAAAAAATAATACAATAAAATAAAATAGTAATAAATTATAGAGTTTTAGATAGCAAAGAGCTATCCATTTTAAATAAAGGCAAATCTTATCTATCTATTTTTATGAGGCTGAATTTTAAAATTAAAATCAAACTTTTCTTAAATTTAAAATTGAAAGAAATTGAATTTATAAAATAAAATTATGGTTACCATAAATTTAGTGTTTCAACTTTCGAAAATTTTCTATTTTAACGTCTCATTGGACAATGTTTACATTTAAATGTTTAAATTTCTAAAAAATTTTCAATGGGGTGTTTCAACAAGCTCCATGACAAGTCTGAAATACAATTGGGGCAAAAATGTTGTGCCAAAGTAAAGGTTTTTGCTGACGTGGATATTTTGCTATTTAACCTAGCCCTGTCAGCTTCAATATCTATCGTTCACTTGCCCAAGAGCTCAACAGATTTGATCCTACAGCTACCATATTCTCACTACCCTCAGCTTACTGTAACGGAAACTTCTCTTTAACTCTGCAACGCCATAGCTACTCTCTCTCTATTGTTAAACCAATTTAATTCTCTCGCAACCCATCATCTCTCTTCCCTCTCGCAACCAATCATTACAAAAAAAATAAAAAAAAAAAAAAGAAAAAAACTAGTCTCTCTTATCTCTTCCTGCTCTCTCTCTCTCTCTCTCTCTCTCTCATCACAATGAAAATCATAAAAAAAAGAAGAAAAAATTAGTCTCTCTTCCATCTCCTCTTTCTTCAATGGCTATGGATGTTACGATCCCATCTCTCTCTCTCAATCAGAAAGAACGATCTCTTCCCTTCTTTCGTGAGAGGTGGTTCGTCCAGAAATCACTGCATCAGACCGATGTCGTCGGAATGGGAAGGTGACGGCGCTGCAATCGTAAAACAGAGAGGAAAAGCGAGATTTGGTCCTCTCTTGAAACCCCAAATTATTATTATATACCTTGGTTGGGTTCACTTCAGGTTCGATTCAATCTGAACCGCACAATTCTTGATTTGCTATTGGTTTTAATGGGGCTTTGAGTTTGCAAAATTCAACTCAGCACAGTTGTCGTCCTAATAATTGTATATCCGGCTTGTCACGTGAGCCAGAGACATCCGATTGATTTTTTTTTTTTTATTGAGACATTAAAATAGAAAGTTTTCGAAAATTTAAATATTAAAGATATAATTATCCCAATAAAATTAACTAAAATTCTCAATGTAGCTCATAGAAATATATCTAGTTAGATGTTTATGGAGATTAAAAAAATATAGTTAAATTATAATTTTTACTTTTGGTGTTACTTAATATATTTATTTCTTATAAATATGAAAGGTTTATGTTTTAATTTTTTTTTTTAATTCATCGGAGGTCCGATGGACTAAATTAACACTACGGTTACACAATAAAATTGATTCATCAAATTGTTGAAAATAATTATAATCAAAAGAATTCAAAACTTTCACTAAAATCTGAATAATCAAAAGAATTCAAAACTTTCACTAAAACCAATCAGATTACGCTTAGCATATTTTAATTATTTTTTGATTTCAAAATTTGATTACTATTAATAATAACATATTTATTGATAAAATAGAGTAAAAACATGAATTTCGGAAAGTGAGACTATATGTCAGAGGAATTAATTAAGTTTGATTTCATATTAATTTTTTAAGAAAACCATTAAATTTAACCAATCATTTATTGATAAAATAGAAATCAAAAGAATTCAAAACTTTCACTAAAACCAATCAGATTACGCTTAGCATATTTTAATTATTTTTTGATTTCAAAATTTGATTACTATTAATAATAACATATTTATTGATAAAATAGAGTAAAAACATGAATTTCGGAAAGTGAGACTATATGTCAGAGGAATTAATTAAGTTTGATTTCATATTAATTTTTTAAGAAAACCATTAAATTGAAGTAATAATTATTGGTCATATATAAATGGTAAATATGAAAAAAAATATTTATTACTTCTTAAAATCACAAATATGATAAGTATTTTAAAACAAACTATTTTTTTAAATGTGATAAATATTATGAAACAGAGGAGTATAAAATAAAAATTTATGCCTAATTGCCGGTCTACTTTTTTAGTGGTAGTATATTAGTTAAAAGGAAAATAACAAATTGAAATATAAATAAAATAATTATCTAAGCTCCTAATCGAAAGTTGACATTTCTTGCAATTTGTGTCATGTGAGGTATAATGGTTCATGATCCAAGAAAATAATCAACTCATCGAAATTAAATTGCACAGACCTAATGTATTAAAAATAAAAATAAAAAAAGAGAAGGAAAAAATAATTTGAACCGTAAATTATACTCCATTCAAAAAATTAATAAAAATCTCGTATCCTTCCATTCAAAAAATAACAATACTTTCATCAAAGTTAAAACAATATAAATAAATCCCTAAATTATATTAAAAATAACATTTGTATCTCATTACTTTCAAAAAAACTCATTATCACATCCTTAATTTTTATAACTATTTGTTTTTATGAATTCATATAAATTCGAAAGATTTCTTTTATAACAGTTTAAAATATTTTTTTTTGGATGGGACGTGATAGTTTTTTATTTTTTTTATTTTTTGAAAAATAGTGAACTTAAATTTTAATTTCGGATATGATTTAGGAACCTATTTATATTTTTCCGCGGCGATTAACAGAAGAAAAAACTTAGTTTTTAGGACTTAAAATTAGAAAGCAAGCAAAAAAAATTAAGTGCCTAGCAAAACCTAACCCATTATCATTGTTTGTTTTCATCTTGTGGAAAGATCTTAAACTGCATATATGCATTTTTTTTTTTCATAAAAGGAAATGTCAAAGTGCAAATATTTACTAATTGTTTATAAAAAAGGAAAAAAATATAGGAAATTCACCTTGGATTGTGCAAATTTGATGTGGTCATGTACTAAATATGGGAAACATGTTCAACACTATTTTAATCTCTTTTCTTTTTAGAAAAAAAATCAGCATCAGTCCACCATATTTGACAATTCCACAACCACCAAGCCTAGAGTTATAAACGAGACAAGCTACTCGTGAACTACTTAAGACTCGGCTTCGTAAAAACTTGCTCAAGCTCGAGCTTGAGTCATTAGCTTGTGAGCCAGTTTTATCAAGCCGAGCTCAAGAACTAGTCTTATTGGGTCGAGCTCACGAGCTAGCTCAATAAGACAAAATCAATTAAAATCTATATTAAAATGATATCGTTTTGGTTAATAAATTTCGAGCCTGAGCTTAAGTTCGACTCATTTATGGTTATTGAGCTAAACCCGAGTCGAGCTCGAGCTTGGCTAGTTTTAAACAAGCTAAGCTTAAGCTCAGATTTCCGAACTCGAGTATATCCTTATTGAGCCGAGCTCACCAAAACTCGGCTCGTTTACAGCCCTAACCAAGACTCAATATTTCTTCCCTTCACCGAAAAAGGAGAAATGAAACTAGTATTTCCTCCCCTCTATTCTTTTGATTAATCAGAAATACACTTAAAGTCTATTCGGCAAAATTAGTTGTTTTGGTAGCTGTTAGCTATTTTAATAGCACTTAGTCATTAGCTCTTTGAGTAACTTTTCATGAAACCTAAAAGCTAAACGTTATATGAGTTAGCTTCTTATAACGTACTATATTACCGAACACTTTTGACTGACTATTTAAAAAGCTATTACCATGTACAGTCTTATTATAAGATATACTGCCTGCCACCAAACCTATAAAAAGAAGCTTCTTGGCTTTCTCCAGTCACATGCCACCCACAACAATGCATTTAAAATTCCATGGAATTGGCAGACACAAAAAGGAAAAAGATAAAGAAAAATGGAAGTCAATGCTATCTGCACATAAGCATGCCAATAAAATTTGGCAAGAAACCTGCAAGCAATTCCAAATTACTAAAAGCAACAACTTATAAATTAGGTTTATTGATATCTCTTGCAAAATTTGATTTGTTTATTTGGGAATCTGGCGGTGAACATGTCATCGTCCAAAACAATTATATATACTTGATAGAATCTAATTGCATTATTTACTCAGACAGAATACAAATATATAAAGAGCATTTTGAACTTCTTATGGAATAAAGAATAGGGTTTTTCTTGTGTTATATAACATTTAACAAACAAGTTGTATCATCAAGATATTTAAATGTAAAATAGATTAATCAAATATAATGTTCAAAGGCAAACGTGTCAGAAATACAAACACTTTAGATGTGGACAATACAATACAAGTAGATAGTGAAAAAACCAAAGCAAAGACTCTTCAAATTAAATTTCTCTCAAAATGTTCAAAAGTGCACAAATATATTTCTCCATGACAAGCAAAGAATTTTATTCTATGCTAGCGCACAGTTGGAAGCTTTTATATAACATTTAACAAACAAGTTGTATCATCAAGATATTTAAATGTAAAATAGATTAATCAAATATAATGTTCAAAGGCAAACGTGTCAGAAATACAAACACTTTAGATGTGGACAATACAATACAAGTAGATAGTGAAAAAACCAAAGCAAAGACTCTTCAAATTAAATTTCTCTCAAAATGTTCAAAAGTGCACAAATATATTTCTCCATGACAAGCAAAGAATTTTATTCTATGCTAGCGCACAGTTGGAAGCTTTTGATACTTCGACTTTCCACTTGGTAAAGTAATGACCAATGACGTGAAATCGAATACTCAATCAGATTGTGCAACTATGAATGGTACAGGACAATGTGACACAGTTATTAAGTAAAAATATGAGAACATGCACCTGTGAGAAATTCTCGACACATAAATCTAAGATCCGGTTGCATACAAGCAGAGTTGAATCAGACTTAACATTAATCATTTTATACCAAAAGAATCGTAGCGCGACCGAGTTTGTATGATGCCTTTGCCTCTCATTATCAGCAATTCCACCAGCTTCATTATCTAAACCTGCTTCAAACTCTTGGCCTCTATAATAAAAAAATAGAAAAATAACATTAAGAAAAAAGTATCTCTGTTGATGATAGAAAGTATTTAGCAACATAACTTACCGGAATGTTGTCCCCGCTCATGGAGTTGTAATTATAATATAACACACACACATTTGTTCTGCTTTGATTGGTTTGCTGACTTCTTTTCTGCTCCACCAGAAAGAGATTCAATTAAAATAAGAAACTTTAATAATTTTTATCAATTCAACTAAATTGATTCTTAAAAGAAAATGAATAGAAGAATTCATTCAAATAAACTTTGGACAATATGAATAGAAAATGATATACAGTTGGCAACTGTTAGCGCTTTCCCTCATGAGGTGACCAATAATTGCACGAGTTAACATTATATTATTGTACTCAAAGGAGGTCTTTGGGACTCACATTAATCTAATAATTTCTAATTGCTGTCCATAGCTCTTAATATATTTTATAAGGGGTTCATATAAATGCTGCCATCATTCAACATAAACTACAAAAAATTTCAAAAAAGGAAGGAAAGCATTGCCAGCTTGAAAACATTACCATGATGTTTTCATTTTTATTTTCTGTTTGGTTAGAAAACAGGCCGACACCCACCAATAAGCCAAAGCTCATTGGTACTGGAGTCATTTTCAAAGCTATGAAATTTTCGAACCTCAGTCAAAGGAAAATTAGAGAAAATAAAATGATGGGAAACTATTAGTTTAAAATACAGGATACAAACAGAAATTACAATGCAAGTTGCATAATGTTCAAACAAGATAGGAAAATAAAATTCAAAAGGCTCAAAGAAACTCAGGAAAAGGAAAATGATATGCAACTCGGCTATAATTTCTGGAAGGTCACAGAATTTACTAGTACCTTTATCAGAGGAAGATGGTTGAACAACTACATGCATGGTTGTAACTCCACCAGGAATATCACATAGGGGACTCCGACACTCTGCTACTGTTCTGTTGTTCTCCAGTATTTTCCCTGCACTTATTAACTTGACATCTTTTACTGTCCTTGGACCATTCTCCTTCTCTGGTCAAAATATATTAACATTTAAATTTCTTTAATCATGCAGGTCAGAAAGTCTTCATTACTAGAGAAAGTATTAAAGTTCATGAGGGTCAAATTTTGTCATTACTAGACAACACGAGGAGCAATTAAACTAAGATTATATATTGTTACCAATCAATGAATTGATCAATATTATGCTATATGATCATATTTCTCAGTTCAAGTTTTCTAGTTTTTGATAACTCATATTAGCTGCAAGTTAAAAGGCACACTAGCCTATGAATGGATCTAAAACCAACATGATTCACAGCCATGCTAACTTTGGTCTCCCCCTGGTGCTATTCTATGCAGCATAAATTTATAAATAATTATTTCAATCAAGAAATCAGAAGAATACAAAATCTAAAATTTCAATTCTAGAAAGAGATATGGTAAAACAAATAAAACAATGATACTGATAATAGCAATATCAAATTTCATCACAGGTTTTCAATAATATGCATTAGAATTCAGTTGCATACAGTTCATATATTCCAAAAGTGCAACCAAAACACAAATATTTATCAGACCAGATTATGATCATAAGAGGCAAGACAGCATAAATGAAAATTCACGTAAACATTAATGCATCATCATATGCTGACAGTTACCTAAAATTTCAAGCAAATTCTACTTTCATGGATTTCACAGTAGTATTTTCTCTACCCATAATGGTGGAACCAGAAAAAATATGGAAAGGGAGGAAAGTAGCAAGGAGAGCTCTTGACCCACAATCACCTTCTGTTTCCATCATACTGTGTATACACACAAGAGCATGAGTGTTTTCAAGAACAGTGAGCTTGAAGGGTAGCCATTCAGAGAACGAGGCATAAATCAAGGACTTCATTGAATATGCTACTTCAGTAAGGGTATCATAAATTTGATAGCCAAAGGTTAGATTAGAGTAAGAAGTAAGGTATGTGCTAAAGATTGTCCCTTCTGAAATTTCAACATCCAACAGAAAGAAATTGAAAGATGATTTGATACAGAAGTCCTAGTAACAGATTGACAATAAGCTGAACAAAAAAAAAACTCTTACCTTTTGGCCACTGAGCAAGAATACTTTCCTTCAAGGTTGCAACACTTGTAGCAGCAGCAAATGTTTTGGGGCCAATATCCGATCCGTCAGTTAATCGAAACTTGATCTCTAGCTGATCTTGTACCGCAGCCATCTGTAGACAATCACCAGTTTCCAAACCAAACTATCCACAAACCCCAGTTAAATCCTCTATCGGAATTCAAGTAGCCCGCCTAAAGACTTGTTTTTGGTCCTCACAAAGACAGATTTCACCGAGGACCTGAATCAGTCGCTCTGCCAAATATGAACAGAGACTAAATTAGGCAAAGTAGTCCTCTTACCCATATATACACAAATAAGACGCGTATAACTACAGAAATAGAAACCAAAGCAAAAACGGAAATACTACTAAAGATTTGGGATTTCCAGCGATGAAAATTTGCAATCAAAAAGATCAGTCTATGCCTAACCACAAATGGAACCATAACCCCACATCAAATCATGCCTAATAAAATAAAAAAAATAGAGGAATACAAAAACACACATAATAGAGTGACACACATACCCACATGCAGAGTAAGAACTCTTGGAACTTCCAAGAATCACCAAAAATATAAAAGCCTTGTATAATCTTGAACTGAGTCTCCAGCAAATCAACCAAACAATTACTTCAATATTGAATCAAACCTGCATGGAGGACAGCATATGTTATAAAATCTGTCACAGCTAACGACCACTACAACACCAAAAAAAAAAAAGAATAAAAAAAAAAGGAGAAAAAGAACAGCTGAATGCCCTCAAAGAACTCAAAAGTCAACTCAGCCCTCAACTTGGTAATCCCTCAACCAATCAAAACCAAAAGAAATTCTAAAACGAACTGAAAATCCTTAACGGGTTAGCTTACTTGGCTATAAAACTGATCTGGGTCAATCTCTTTTTCTTGTTAAAGAGAACAAGCTGTAGAAAAAGAACAAGGAGAAGAGAGAAGCGATGTGTGTCTCAGTAGTGAATGATAGATGCAAAAGAAGAGATGCAATAAATCCCAGGAGAGGAGGCTGCTTCGGAGTTTTCAAAGTCTTCTAAATCGATGGTCAATGCTTCCATTCTTGCTTTCTCTTAGCAATCTCCTAAAACCATGGAAATAGACAGATTTTTCTCTTTTTAATACAAGACTGGCCTTTTTGGCCAGCAGTACCACCTTGTCACCTAATGTTTAAAAACAAACCCTTTTTTATTTTCCTGTAAAATCAGTGATAGAAAGTGGTAAATGTAAAATTTATAATTTTTTCCCTTTTCAATTTGAAGTAATTTTAAATGATAAAAGAAGACAAGAGTTATTTGTATTTAACAAATATATAATGTTATATAATATATATCATAGTCTAATTAGCATTGGACCCTAACGAACATATAATTAGAATGGTCAGAACTGGAGGCAAGGCTGCCAAACTAGGACAGTTCTACTATTTCTATATAAAAGATGAGTGCTGTGTTCATATAAACTCTGGCCAAAGATCTATATGACCCTATCATCAAGAGAGACAAAATCAAATGCAATTGTAATACTTTTTGTTAATGACAAATGGGTCTCTTTTAATTTTTTTTTTTTCTTTGTTTGTAAGGTGAGGTTAATGTTCTAATGTACAAGTGCATACATTCATTTACAAAGTGAGTTGGTAGTTGTTTTTTTTTTCTTTTTCTAGCTTTTAGGTAGTTGTTTTGTCAAAGAGATTCTTCCATTTAAGCTTAGGTAGAATCAACTAATATCTTATATCATACAACTAAATGACAGGAGTTCAATCCTAATCACTTAGTTAATCTTTATTGATTTAATGTTAAAGAAAACTAAGATACCAAGAGAGAGGTCCACTCAAATGCGGGACAATTAAGATGATGAGGAATGTTTTAGGCACAAGAAAAGAAACCTTCACTTTGAAATATCAGAAGAACAAAAAAAATCAGCATCACCAAATTAGTTTATTGGATGCTTAAAGAAAGACAAAGCGTACTAAATGGATTTCGTGTCATCGTCAACTTAGCAAATTCCAAGAACAAGAATATATTTTTAAAGAAATTAAAGTGGGAGATAGATAAATCACAAATATCACACGTGTACGGCCTTAGGATGCAGTAATATGTCAACATCTGCTGTTACTTAAGGTTTGGTAAGCAAAATTTAGAGTACCTTCTGATAAAGTAATCAAAATATGTTAGCAAATGGGTTCACAGGACATGTTCAGGAATGTTAGCTCTTTTGATAATTATTAATTGTTTTGACAATCAAAATGTTAAGTTATTCTCTAAAAGCTAGTTACCACACTTTAATGGCTTGATATTTATCTTGAATTCTGCAATAAATAAGTTTAAGAATGTATAAAGTAATTATTGTCGGAATAAAAAAAACGAAAGGAAAAACATAAATATGCCATCTTTAGCAGCAGCTTATGATAAAATGATAATGGGAAGTTTATTAAAACTGTGAGATGATGAAATGAAAACAAGCAAGATGAGTTTTGCCGTAATTTAATGGAGATATTAATAGAAGTTTGGAAAAAGAATTATCTGCACATTTTAATGTTTCTCATGAATCGTACATAACAATTATATCGATATATGACCTAAAAACAGTTCCCCAATTCAATGGGACCTGTAACAAAGCAATCTTCATTACCTACTCCTAAATTTGAGCATGATGATATTGCAGTAACCAGCAAAAAATGGACATACTAACAAAAATGAAACAACATGAGAACAAAAGAAAAAATTGAAGGGATAAAACATTTTTGGGCTAATGGAGCAGCCCGCATGAAATGTCAGTGCTTGCCTCCTTCCTTGCACCAATCAGCATGATGTCTCGATATATCTGCTTCTGTGTGTTTCTTTATTTGAAAATATATATGTGCCAAGAAATCAGGCTAGAGTTCCTGCAGGAAAACCAAAAATAGTATCTTTTTTTCCAACCAAAAAATTAAATGATGGATTGCTATGTTACAGATTGAAAGAATGAATCCCATGCCCGTGCAAGTGATGCAGGCCTCTTCACGTGATAGCTCTGAGGGATGAAAATGAATTCAGACCTGAAACACTTCGTTCTGGCAAAGTTCTGATTTCCTTGTCAAATAGATCTCAACAAAATTCCGAGCCATCAAATAACCGGTGTGACAGAAAATCATTTGTCTTTTCCTGTTCCACATCTAGTTTCTAGCAGCTATTAACCTATGGTTTGGTCAACTATGACTCCAGGATGTGGCAGTTACTTATAAAATCATTGGAGTAATCAACATACTTTGTCCAAAATGGTCGGAGATGCTCGAAGCCAATCTGCAGCCATGGTTTAGACTGGCCATTATAGTGAATAACAGCAGCCTTTTTCACATCCTCGATGTTGGTCTTATTCTGATAGCCCAAGCCAAGCATATGCCAAGATGGGTCAATTGGATGAACATGACCTTTAAATGCAATTAAAGCAGGTGGTAGAGTACCAAGTTTCCACATTGTCAGGTTTGACTTCAAGTTCTACAAAAAAAAAAAAACGTCCAATTAGATAGATGCAGATGGTTATCAGCACCAAATAGATATTGATAAGTTCAAATTACAGCAAAACAAACAGAAAACATTTAAGTATCCATCGTGATAACTATTGCAACTGAATTCTGTTCTTCATTAATAATCTATCAAACCACAAACTACCTAGAAAGGTTGACAGATTGTTCCGAGAAGTATGTATCCTGAAACTATTTGAAGGAGAAAAACCATAAAGTGTACTTGTAGAATCTATGGCGTGGCCTCTGGTCAAAGTAGGTAAAGAAAATAAGTAATTGTGGCAGGAATCATTTAAATGGCTTAGGAAACTATGAGGATGAGATTCACACACAAGGGAAGAATAATGTCGACTTCGAGATTCATTTTCATGCAGAAACTGGTATGGACACCACACCAGAAACTGAAATGAAAATTATGGTGATGGACCAAGGGTTGCAAATGAGCCAAGCCACTCGTAAGTTGCTTGAGGTTTGGCCTAAAAAAAGCTAGTTCAATAAGCTTAATAAACGAGCTTGAGCTTGCTTAAACTCGTTTCAATAAACGAACACAAGTTTGAGCCTGAAAAGGGAGAAAAATGTAACTAAAATTTGCATACCTAACAGTAATCGGTCAACTCAGCTCGTTTATAGCCTGAGATGTACCACTAGCTAAATTCAACATATTTGTACTTCGACATTATTAATCTTATTCTATAAACCCAAGGAAAAGGTGAACATAGACGGCAATACATACATGCATACATATATAGAATGTGAGCACGAGCCAAGCAGTGAAGATCTTACCTCTTTCAGCCAGGAATGGTAGGTTTCTCTTATATTTGTTAGCCTCCATGCACGAAGATCAAATATGTTCATTCCATACGCCCATGCACATTCATCAGGGTCCAAACTTTTTGCAATGAGTGGATGAGAGAAATTGAAGTAGTTCTTGAAATGTTTGGACATTACCCAATCATCATCTCCTCTACAAGTTTCAACAGCTCCATTAACCTTTCCTTCAAGGTCAATTTCCCAAAGTGGAGACAAATCACGTTGAATGACAACATCATCATCTAAGAAGACTACCTTGTCAAGGTTTGGAAAGAGCTGTTGAATAAACATGATCAGACCAAGGATTTTAGAGAAGAGATTAAGGAAAAGAGAGAATGAATAAGTTTGAAGTCAGAGACAAAAATTTAATGCAAACAACATTATTCTCACTGGCCTAGCAGGTTATTATGCACAAGATCTTAGAAATAAAACTCAACATCTCTATAACCAACAACAGCGAATCAGATATCCTTGTTACAATTCACATGCGGTAAAATCATCAATCATTTACCAATGTCAGTAGTTGACGATTATACAATTCGAACAACTTTGAATTCAACTCAACAAAAAAAAAAAATAGATAAACCACTTTGATTGATTAAAAAGTACAATTATTAAACCAAATTCACTAAAATTCGGCTTTGGTTGTTAGTTCGTGCCCTAATAAATCATCCTACACACTTCTTTTTCATACTTGCATGATTTTGGAAATTTCAGTTTTCCCTCCCCATACGAACTGAGTGAATGTTCCTATAGCAATTGCAAGCTCCTTAAGAGCTGGCGCCAAACTTTTTAGTTTTTTGGGGTTAGGGTGGGGTGGTTTGTTAAAGATAGAGCCCTCCGATTTACATTTCTAAAATCCTCACAGGCAGAGGAACCACTCAAAGAGAGAAGGCCTCTAATTTACAGTCTCATTTCTAAATTAAAAGAAAATGTTTAACATACACTTGATTACCTAAATTAAACGACATATTTCACCTATATTTGATTACCTCAGGTAAATATATGCGGAGATGGTTGAGCAAGGATATGTACTTTGGACTTCTAGCCTGCAGCTTTGAAGCAAACATTCGAGGAGTTGTAGTACTGAGATTGGCCCCAGAAATGTGATTACCATGGTAGTAATTTCTGATACCATTATGGTTCTCTACAGCTTCAAGGACTGGGACGTTCTCCCTTGTTAACCAGTCAAACTGGTGAACACCCTTCACTTCAACAATAGCAGGGGAGACTGGATTTAGTGCAAACCATGAGTGCATAGCCGCATAAGTTTTCTTGTCAGTTATCACATGAAACACTATCTTTTCAGGTTTTAAAGATGACTGGACAGTAGAAGTGACAACAACTGAAGCAGCTAAAATGTTATCCGTTGACAGAACGAAGTGATGGTAAGAATTGTCAGATAGCAAAGGAAGCAACTCTGGAGATGGCAATTGTTTGCGTGCATGAGCATTAGAAGAATATTCATCAGTTAAACGTAGAGAGAGACAGTGGATGCCTTTTGGAATGGAACTTGCAGCAAAGTGTTTGTTCATCAACTCTGCAAATTTAGATTCTCTAATTTCCCTTTCAAATTTCTCCATCTGTAAAAAAATAAAAAGGATGATATTAATTGGAAACAGTGCTCTGAATACTCCCTCTGCTTTTCTTTTATCCTATTCTTTTTCTGGGAGAAGGGAGAAGCTGGACTCTCCACTTTATAAATATACTATTTATTTGCATAGGAGCATGTGGACAAAATAGTATAAAGACACAAAAATAAGTACACATGTAGAGATAGGTAGACAGCATATATGTAACTTTTACACCTCATCACTCCCCCGCTCCAACAGCATGAAGTATCTCAAACATATTTCAACTAAAAGATCTAATGTTAAATATATGGTTGGCCACCAGTTTCAGTACTTCCTACCATGCAATTTGGAACCGACAAAAGTTAAATGACCAAATTGTATGTTAAAGATGAATACAGAAATGATGGCCTCGTATACATAATTGGGGGTAAGTAGGGACAGAAACTAGAGGTTGCTAGGAAATGCATGAACTTGGCTTGTTTGGTTCACATGATCAAACCCATGTTCTCAAAAAGTGGAGTATTGCACTTCCTGTCCTAATGGGAAGTTACTTTAAACCTGGCAGGAGGGGGATGGGGAGGATGGTAGTCAAGTTGGACTTACTACAAGTGAAAATCTTACAGACATAAGAGTGAGCAATGCCTAATTTTATTTTTTTCAGAGTATTATCTTACTCTAACCTAATGAGACTAATTTACCATTGACCAACACCAATGTAGACAAAACATTCTCAGATTATTCTGCATAAGTTGTGTGTTAGTCTAAAACCTTCATTTGTGGGTGGGGTCTGAATTACCCTATTTATCTTGCCCATATTCATTGCAAGTCTCTTTACTTATTATTGAAAATTAGCTTTTATACTAACAAATATTATAAAATTGTTTGTTATATCTTAGTTTGATGGTGATTGGGGAATGTATTGTTCTCTTTTGTGGCACTACTCTGGAACTACTCCTAAGAAATGGCATATGAAACAAAATGAAAATAATTACTTTCCAGGAAGTTGGCATAAGAATCAAACACTTCCTAGTCCTACTTCCTCGAACTTATCTTGCAGAGAAGTAGAATTATTTTGAACCAAACACTTGTAAGCTATATCTTTTGCTATAATTTCCTTATAGCAAGACATAAAAGAAAAGTGGAGAAAGAGTACAAGAAAACTATATGTTTCCTTGGAGCAGACATAGGAAAAGTGCTAAAACTCTAGGGAAAAGAAAAATTAAAGGAGGATACAAATACAGAAAGTATAAACAAATTGTGGGAGGACCTATGCAAGACACTACTAAAGATTAAAGATACCCCTGCTTCCTTGAAGAGAGATGAGGAAGATGATGACAGTAAAATTTTCTGATAGACAAGTTGTCTCTACAATAAATAAATTATTTTTCTTGCTCTAATTTATGGAATTAGCAAATTTCAGACTTGGTGATAAAAAAAGTGGACCTGATATTAGCATTTCTAAGGAGCATAGGGACTTGGTATCAAATAGATTCAGGAATCCACACACCTTCATGCCTAAGAGAATGCAAAAAGAAATCAAGTCTCACAGAACATATCAAATGTCAACCTGAACCCCAATACCGAGCACAGAATAAATCAAAAATTAGTTTCAGATGTTTAATAAGGACAAATCCCTGACTTGTTAACAAGTATACTTGAATTATAAGAGGATAAATAGACACAGCAAATTGCACCTCCAAATTCACACCCTTCATTAATGACAATATCCAAGAAACCTAGTTAGATGAGCAATTCTGAAGAAAGAACAAAGTGCTGTGCAAAGCCTACAAAATCAACCACTTGAAAATCTGTGCTACAATGGGATCTTAGATTTAGAAGAGCCTCAAAAATTCCATTATTAGACTGAATTGGGAATCAGTTAATGCCTTAATAGAGATTTCTTTTAGGCTGCTCGATGTTGATGAGGATAAATTTGGATTCAGTTATGTACATACTGATAGGTGATACTGATAATTTTTTTGTTTGGAGATTGGAAGAATTAGGTGAATTAGAAAGTTTACTTCTTTACATTAACCACTTTAGGCGGCATTCTTACAGAATAAGTTAGATGTTGAGACTGAAAGGGTCAAGGACATAAACCTTACTGAAATCTTAGCCATAAACAGAGTGGATTGGAAGAATATGATCCATGTAAGACACCCTAACAAGAGTATAATTAAGACTGAATTGATATAAAAGTTATGGGGAAACAATGGATAATTTGCAGATCAATATTGTTCAGAAGCTACATTTTTGTCATGAAAAAGAAAAGTTGTAGGCATCACAATTAGAGAGTATATTAAGTCATGGAAAGAAGAATAGCCAGAAATAATTTCTCAAATAAAATTTAGAAATCGTCATACAAGCTACCTAAATAAGATTCACTCAATAGCTTAGAAAAACCACAAATCAGGCAATCACTCAGAAATTAAAAAGCAAAATGAAAACAAATACTGAATATATACGTCTACACAAGAATAATATGAAACATACCATAGCCCTTAGCATGAAAGCAAATGTTTTTGCATCATACTGGCTGCTCTTCATTTCAGATACAAGTTGGTTAAAGGAATCTGGGAGCTTTAGTCCCTCTGGGATTTCTTCATTGTTTACTTGATTGAGAATCTTGTAAAAGTCTTTAACCAGCCTCTGCTGCGTCATTACCACAAGCACTAATTCAGCTTCCTTAACAAGATTAAAAGTTATTTGCTAGGAAATTCTCCAAAAGTACAAGTATTTAACATAGTCTGAAAGAGTTATTGAATATAAAGGAGAGAAGTTATTACCCCTGAAGCATCCGCTCTACCCAGAAACCTTGGTCCCAGTCGCCTGCCTAAACAATCTAAAGCACAGAAGCATACTTAGATCAAGCACAATAGGTCAACCAAAAAACATAGTAGAAGCTAATGAAAGAGGGTTCTAGATCTGCTCCATGAAATACAAACACTAAGACATGCAGATAAATAATAACATATAAAATTTCAATAATGTGCAAAAGAAACAAGAAAAAGAAAGCTCATCAACAAGGGACATGCTGGAAGAATATGAAAAAAAAATTCCCAGTAACCATATCCAGTTTTCATGCCAGTACTGAAAAGAAAGTCTTTATCCATATTGAATTCACATAATAAAATCTCGACGTAAAAAATAAAATAAGTAAAATCCATCCAATAAACTCCCATTTTTAACTTAAACGATAATTGGAACCTAATCTCAGGCATTCTAGGAATCTGAAAACCCAGCCCATATCAGTTTAATACAGCAAAGCCACATTGGTGAAAACAAAAAATGATGAGAATACAAGAAAAATGACAAGAACTTAAATCCTTGTTATATAGATGTGCAGGTTTGCGTACTACAGGATGTTACTATGGACAACAAAAACAACAGGGCGTGCATATTACCTAAATCAAATCAATATCCATTTTCCACAATGGCAAGTAAAGAAATACAATTCATATTTGTGCAACTATAGTCTATATATACACATGTATTGGCAAAGAGAAGATATTAGGATTACAGACAGAACATGTCAACCGCTACATGGTCATAACAACGTAATCTGTGTTCAATTACTATCCAAGGGATGTAAGAAAATGCAATAACATATGATATAACACGTGGAACATGTGCATAACAAGCAGAACAAAAGCAAATCAGGATTCATGGACCAAGTACCAAGCACATCATCACAACCAAATGCTTTTGACGGACATAAGTAACATTTATAAGCATATATGAGAAATAAAGAAATAAAAATTGAAAACCAAAACCAACAATGGGAACTTGAACAACAAACTGAAACCAAATCAAGATCCACCCATCAATCCATTCATGCATGAAGATTAACTATACAAATTAAATCATTAAAATAAAGGAGAAAACCGAACTTTAATTGACAAGAAAGATAAAAGTGGTACCAAATGAAGAGCACTTGTTGACGCCTTCCAGGGTAACAAGAGCAGTGAGAATGAAGACAAAGGGCAACAAGAAAGCAAGAATTAGAATGGTATGGAAAAGGGTTCGATAAGATATATGGCGAGCTGCGACCTTGATCTTCATCAAGTCAATAAACCCATTGCTGCTGTTGCTCGATATCGTGATGCTTCTCATGCTAGGCGAGATGTGAAGCTGCATATTCCTCTTCTATGCAGCCCCACCACCACAAACCTAGCAGCACCACCTCCACAATAATGAAATAACAGTTTCTTGACTCCTTTCAATAACAATAATGCACCACCCACCATCAGATCCACTCGTCTCCTTATCTAATCTTTCTATTCCTCTATTAGATCAAAACTGCTGAATCTTTTCTGGGTTCTGTTACTTGTTCTGCTATTTCTTTCTCTTTTACTTCTTTGTGGTATTCTCAAATGCCGCATTGGAGATTTGGCAAACAGCAAGCAATAAATATAAGGCTTCTTGATTTTTTCTCTTTCCCGTTTAATCTGGTCCAATACCGTCAAAGGAAACAAAGATTTAGAATTTAATTCAAGAATCGATAGACAATCAGTATTGGGTTAATGGGTTTCTTTCTCTTTTTACCTCTATCACACCCTGGATCAAGAAAATGAAAGAAAGAAAAAAAAAAAAAAAAAAAGAGAAAAGCGCAAGCAATAAATATAAGGCTTCTTGATTTTTTTCTCTTTCCCGTTTAAAATCTTCTGGTCCAATACCGTCAAAGAAACAAAGATTTAGAAATTTAATCAGAATCGATAAGACAATCAGTATTGGGTAATGGGTTTCCTTTCTCTTTTTTACCTCTATCACACCCTGGATCTAAAGAAATGAAAAGAAAGAAAAAAAAAAAAAAAAAAAAAGAAAAGAGAAAAGAGGAAGAGAAAACAAAAACAAGAAGAGGAGAGAGAATATGGGGTTTTTTGTCTCTGAGTTTTTGTGCTAAGTTTTTCTCTTTCTTGTTTTAATTCTTTGATTGGTGGATCGTGCGATCTAATTTCCCTTTCTTTTCAAAATTAAAAACAAAAATAATTAGATTAAATTAATTAAAAGTGATTAAATTAATAATTCCAAAAAAAATATTAAAAATAATAATAGTCAAAACCGTGTTGGGCGTAGAGAGAGAAGTGAGGAGCAATTGTTTGACCTTTGAGAGGATAGTGTGTGATCTTAGAGGCCTAAATTTGGATGTCTCCTTCGTTTATGGGCAAACATTGGCTTTCTGTGTTATTATGTGGCCAATATTATATTTAAGGTTTTTTTTTTTTTTTTAATTTTAATTTTAGTTTAAATTTAACTCTCCCCATGTTCTTGAGATCAAAGAGTTAAACAAACTTAAGGTTTTTTTTTTTTTTTTAATTTTAGTTAAATTTTTACTCTCCCCATGTTCTTGAGATCAAAGAGTTAAACAAAATATATCACTTTTTAGTATAATAAAGTGAGATATGCAAGTTTTATTCTTTAAGATATATTATGATATAAAGAATAATGATGTCATAAACTAAACCCTAACATGAATAAAAATCATAAATATAAAATATATTTTTGAACTCCGTGTGGACACAAATTAAACTTGTAATGTTTGATTTCCAAAATCTCATGTTGAAAGAAAAATCCATCAACATCTCAAATTAAATAAATTATATTTTCAAACGAATTTTATATATAATGTCATAGTTTAAAATATAAAATAATCATTATTAATGATTTTACCCAAATATAAATGACCAATATTAAAAGAATATTGCGTTTTTGAATTTGAAATTATTATTAAAAAGTTCAAGTGATTCTTTTCTTTTTCATTATTAAGACATTTCATTGTTTTTGTTTTCTTTCTCTTTTTTTTGTTTTCCTTAACGAAGTCTTTCTTGTGTTAGAGGTCGTGAATTATTTCTAGAATTAATAAATATTTTGGGACATCTAAAAATAAATAATAAATAAAGGAAATGGGATGGAGATAATATAATATCAATGTTAAATATAATTATAACATTAATTATAATTAAAAAAGTGTAGATATATAATTTTTTTGAGAAAGTAAATATTTTAAATATTTTTAAAATATTAATTAAATGGATAAGAAGGCTCTTTGAATCCAAACTGGATAGCCGTAGTAAAAATGACATTCAAATCCATTTATTTACTATTTGAATTTGCCAAAATCAGATCAATCGAATGTACCTGCCAAGTTAGATAAAATTGTCATCCCAATATTTTGAGAAACACATGGGCGCATGACTAATTAATTAATATATAGTATTTTCATTCAAAGAGAAGGGAAAAATTAAGAAAATTTAGGTTCTAAAGTTAGAGGAATTACCAAAAATATATGAGAAAGTAAATAAGAAATGAACTCAAATATTATACTCCCTTCGTATTATTTTGAAATTGTAGCTCCAATCTAGGGGATCCAAGGGTGGGTCTCGCCCCCTAACAAATTTTTTTTTTTAAAAAAAATCACTCATTAAATATTAAAATTTTTCTAAAGTTTAATGCTTTTTTTCATATAGGTAGTGTGCAATGAAAAATGCAAGCACGGCTTGGAGAGGGATTTTTTCTGATCCATTAAAATAGTAAATTTTTTCAATTTCACTTCTCTCGACTCTTAAAATTTTTGTTAACCCCTTAACTTTAATTTATGAATCCATCACTAGCTCTAATAATATCCACATCAAGAAAGCTTCTTGCATGAACTATGGATTGATCCAAATCACCATCTCCTGATTACCATCTAATGTGTTATTACAAAGGCAATCTGCAAAGGAAATGACTTCTCTATAAATATGAGTTAACATTCCTTATGCCAAAAATCTCCAATAGCACTTTTGTTATTAGAGAAAAAAAAAAGTGCATTGATGCATTGATATAATTAAACTAATATTGAATTCTGAATGATAAATATTAATCCTTCAGTAATGAAAAGTTTCTCTTATCGTATTATTTGAAAATGGATAGAGGTTTACTCGGAAGATTAATATCTTTTACGAAGATCATTTCCGGACATAAGATTCTAATTTTCTATATTTATCTTTTTTTTTTTATTCTTATGAAAATGTTATAATGTAATCAACATATATTTATTATTAATGAATTGCCAAGTTTTGAAAAAAAGAAAAAAAAAGAAAAAACTATATACATATAGTAGAAAAAAAAAAAAGACAGAATTGCACCGACAGAAAGGAGGGGGGAAATATGTAATATGAGGTAAGCCAAACACAAGATTTCATACAACAGCTTTATGATACCAGACATATGGGAAATAAGTAAAAACTTAATGAATAATGGTTGAGTTTTGCTAAACTGAGAATTTTAGTAGTCAAGTCACTTGCCAAACCCAACTTAAAAAAAAAAAATTATATTATTTTTATCCATATATATTGCATAATATATAATATTGCCCCTTCACCTTTGGAAAGATTTTTATTCTTTTTTTTTTTTTTTGCCTTTACATACTATTATATTATTTTATTAATTTTTTTATATTTTCCGTGATAAATTAATATTTCATTTTTCTATTTTACCAAAATTAACTAATTTATCTATTCGTCTCATTATTTTATCAAAATTAATTAGTTTGTTCCTGTATTTTCATGAAAAAGTATAACAAAAAAATATGAAAGTATAATGGAGGAAAAGATTAGGATAAAATTATGTATTTTTAAAAATATAGCAACAAAGCCATGTATTTTGATAAAAATACAAAGATAAAATAGTAATTTTTTAAGAAATAAATATATTCTTTTATATTCTTATTTTATTTTTATATTTAAAAATTAATTTTATATTATTAGTTTCGATACATTATGTTGAATTTACCTTCTAGACACTATTAAAATAAATTATTCACTCAAAAGTCAAAACTAAATAAAATTAAAAATATATTTATTTTTCATCTTTAACATAATACAAACTTATTTGTTTGAACCAATCAGATGTGGTTTGATTGATTCTCGTTAACATTGAGAGTGTGCGGTCTCTAGTTTAAATCATTTTCACTAGTTTTCACTAATTTGGTGAGTTAAGAAAATAGTTATCTTTCATAATGATATACCGATTCATTGAACTTTCAATAAATAAAATAAATATTTTTTTCACCAAATCAAATAAATATCTTTCAAAGAATATTAGTTAATTAAAAGTGTATTTATTTGAAAGAAGATCAATAAGTTATTTAAGAACTTGCTATTATTAATTAGTGAGCTTAATATGTGAAAATGACCTTTTAAAAAAATTATTAATTGCTGAACTAAATATTCGATAATATTTTAATGGTTAATATATGTAATTTTCAATATGAATATTAAATAATAAATCATTTTTTATCATGTTCCAATACTATTTAATTGAATCAAAGTCTTTTGATAACTATTAATTTGTTGCCATCGAAATTCTGGTGCCCTTGCATTATGGCATTTTATCAAAGTCAGGTGTATTTCAGGCCAAAGACCAAGTGCCATTCTATTTTCTTGCGACCTACAAAATTTTGATAAATAGTATTTAATAATTGAATTTTAAAGCGAGTCCGACCAAAATAATATTGTGGACTGTACAGCAGGGTGACCCTCTACTTTGAATGACATTCACCAAATTAGTGATTCAAACTTGATATCTCTCACTCCCTACATCTTTTACGAGAGGTAAGAAAATCAATCAGACCACACCTCATTAACAACTCTATTACTAATTTTTTATAACAATTTTATGCAAATTTAACTTATTTTCTATAATCAAATTGAAAATTGAAAATTTTCAAGTTATTTAAAACTATAAATGTTAAAGATGAATGTGACTGTGACCCACCAAAATGGTATGAAAAAAGCAGTGTGGCACATGACTTGTTGCTATGAGTTGGAGACAATGGTTTCTATGACCAATTAACATCTGGAAAAATACCTTATTATTCTGAAGCTTTGGGTCAAACAAAGCTAACAAAGTACAAGTATTTACTACATTCGCAATTATTTTTATATATCTCACTGTTTTTTAAACTTTTATATACGAACTCTGAAATTAATAATTGTCTCAAGTATTATTCAGGTGTTGATTGAAGTAGTAACCGATCTCAATCTCCAGAAAAATGAGAAAATAAGTTCAAAATCTTTAAAAAGTGCAGTTTACTAAGACGATAAAAAATTTTTACATTGTGCAGTCGGAGAGATTAAACCTCTTGATTAAAAAAAAAAATCTCATTCTAATACAAGTCAAATATAAAGAGTTGGCTCATAGATCATGCTAAATCATTGAATAAGACTTGCCTCACCTCATTAGACTAGGTCATCTCGAGAGTTTCAATTGCAGACACCATTGACATTTGTATTGATTTGTTCAATTCAACTAAATGATGTTGAAAGAAAGAATAACAAATGAATATTAAAATCAAATGACGCATCTTGCCAAACCATAACATCCAACAGCAAAACTTGAACTTTTAAGCAGTCAACCAATGCAATGTTTGGTATATTCAAGTTCTAACATCCAAATAATGAAATCTATTAATTTGGTTTTTATCAAATTTCTAAAGGACAAACATATTTCTTCTTACTTTTTGGCAAGTAAGAATCCATTTCCCAGTGATTCCTCTGATTCAATCACACAATGGTTGGCAATCACAATGATCATATGCTCTTCAATCAGGGT